CGGCCGAAGTGTAGGCTGGGTTTGTTGAGAAGGGGCGGGGTGGAAGAAAGGGGATTGCAACGCTGAACTTGGAAGCCAGAAAGAGAGTAAGGTAAAGGAGACCGGCCCATGAAACTAAAGGGGTGTTGGTTAGCAAAAGTTCATGGCAAAGAGAGGCGTAGGAAGTGACTTACAGCTCGAGTGTCCACTTGGGAAAGACTTGAAGCCGTCTTTGAGGCGATCGTTGTCTGTCTGAGTGCAAATACCAGAAGTGACGAGTACCCAGGCTGGATCAAATATATCTCCAACAACGGGGTTTATGGCGAAGTCGGCGATGCGGTTAAGATCTGGCTTGCACCTCGACAGCAAGTCTGGTCTCGGCTTTCCAAATAAGTTCTTCATGCCCTGAGTGATCAAAAAGGCCGTTGCAAGTGAAAGCGCAAGGCCCATCCATCCCGTGTTCCACTCCCAGAGCTTCCTCCTCCAAATGAGCGCCTTTGGTGTTCCGCGTTCGGCCGTGGGCCCAGGAACAAAGACGAGACATACTACCATGATGATACCAGCAGGCGCAACGAGCGAGACAACAACCAGAAGCCAAGTGGGGATCATTTCGCTCGTCTGGTAGGGGTATGAGATGTTGAGGTCGACGGGCGAGAAAGGTCGGCGGAAAGGTTCGACATACTCCCAGCCAGCGGCTACGGCTGCGATGCCGATGATGACGATCCAGTCAAAGATGTAGGATGCGACCAGTCGTGCCGACGGTCTGCTAATTCCGTTGAAAGCCTGCATGTTTACCATGCGAGAAAGAATGTGTACGACGCAAACAAAATGGAGGTTTACGGAGGTAGATGATTAGAACCAAGTAGTGCGAGTGTCAAACGTTGCAGACGGCTCAAATTGACAGGCGCATGGACGGGTGCTTTGAACTTGTTGATCTTGGCGGGAGTGTCGAGTGTTTTGGGTATGATTTGAAGTGCTAGTGCGTGTCACCGAGAAGAAAAGTAAGCGTGGTTTGACGTGTGTAGTGTGGAGCGTGTGCAAGCATGAATGGTGCTACCATGGGCGAGTAATATGATGATTGAGAGATCATAAGTGACGGAATGAAGGGTTCAAGGGGTGAGGCAAGAGGGCACGCGATAACTGCCAAGTGCCCAGCGGGACGGCTTGAGGCTGTGAGGGCAGGGCTCAAGGCGGTGGCCTGAATGGACACGGCGGCGTCTCAGCAGGCGCCCAGAGCGTGGCCAGCCTATTGCGTTTGCGCCGGCGTACTGGCGTATGCGCTGGGACTGGATGTCGGACGGACATGGACGTACGCTATAAGTTCACTATTGCCCATACGAGAAGCCATGATGATGGTCATGAGAATGATGATGAAAATGGCTGTCGAAATGCGGGTGCTAGGACGGCCAGGGTTTAGTCCAGGACATGATTTGCGACGGTAGGGGGAAAGTCTCCACACCTCCGCCCACGTCATCTTTTGCGCTTGGTTTTTCTTAGCTGTTAGGGCTGGCCCGGAGTTGTGTGTTGTGCCTATACGCAGACGCATACGCACGGTACAGTCAGTCGTGCAGCACCGAGGCTCAGCCCCAGTGACTGCGTCTCCTGCGTCCGAATACGGACAAATACGGATATCCATCACGCCCGAAAGCCGGCCACCGTCAGACAAGCGCAGCAAAGCCAGCCAGCCAGCCCACCATGGCGCTACCGCCGCCAACCATTGACCTGTTGCTCAACCTCATCGACACCCGCCCGCAGTCCATCCTCACGTCGCTGGCGCAGCATCCACAGCTGGCCTCGGCGCGTGATGCTCATGGCTACTCTCTGGTCCATGCCGCCGCCTCCTACAACCAACTCGCCGTGCTGCGCGACCTGATTCAAAAATTCAATGCCGACGTCAACATTCTAGACGAGGACGGCGAGACGCCCCTCTTCGCAGCCGAAAAAATCGAAGTCGCAAAATGCCTGGTCGAGGAGCTGGGTGCAGACACTAGCATACGCAATGGCGATGGTCAAACGGCCGAAGACAAGATTGGCGAGGAAGAAGGCGAGGCACACGAAGTATACCAGTACCTGAGGAGTCGGAGAACTGGTTCTGAGCCAATACCAGCGGGTCTTGTAGAAACTGAGAGTGTACACCCCCCGCCGCCATTACCCGGTGGTGTCAAGGTCAATATGGGCACTATGGAAGAAGATGCCGCTGAGGCACCAGATCCGGAGATACGGCGGCGGATTGAAGAGTTGGCGGCGAGAGACGACTACAACTCTGAGGAGGTGCAGAGTCAACTGAGGGAGCTGGTGCAAGACGTTGTCAGTGGCATTGGAGGTGAGGATGGAGGAAGAAGCGTAAAGAGAAGGGTCGACTGAGGACGACAACAACAAACAAGAGCAACGAACGCCGCACCAACCAACCGCACATCACGTGCTTGGAAGGTGCCTAAAAGAGATGCAAAAGGGATTTCCACAAAAGTGTGCCAGCAACAAGCCTCGTCGGTTGTTATTGTCGAGCCAGAATGAGGGCGGCTCCGAGATTTCCCACTGTGTGACTGGAGAACAGTCCAGACCATCCAGGTAGTTCTAATAAATCACAAAACCAGGTCGTTTCACCATATCCTTTCCTCATTCAGGTACTACTCTTAAATTGATTTCGTGGACCTTTCATCTCCCCGCATCTCCCCCGCATCTTGCATTCTCACGTCAGTTCACCAGCAACGCCTGGACGCAAATCATGCAAGCAGCACCCAATCAACCTGCCCTGACTGATACTATCAAGCAACAGCCTCATGAGGCCTTGCCAAATTCTATTTTCCTTGTGTCATTGGTGTCGGACCAATATGTTCAGCATCTTGTTGTAACCTTAAGTCCCCTACCCGACCTATCGGATACGGTCCCGTTGTCGATTGGCCAGGTCCGGGTTAATCACGGCCCCATGAAACCGGCGATACTTGTACTCCACCCTGCACGATTCACAAATCGTCTTCTGAAAAGGGTTATGACTCCGTGGATACTTATCAAGCATGGAGACTGTGAGGTTGTGTGGGTTGGGCGCTTAATATCATAGCGGCTATTCGTACTCGTCGTGGTGGTAATGGTGTAGTCAATGCTATCTCAAAACTGCTGCACTGTAGTGTAGTTACTATACAAAGTCGATAAGCGTAGTTCTCTGGGCTACTTACTATGCAGGGGTGCATGTCAACGATCATGTCCATCACCAACCCACAACCTGAATCAGAGTAAGAAGATCAACCACGCATTTGCCTCAAGAGCTTGACTCAGTAGATGCGGTTGTTGCATCACGCCTTTTATCTCCGCCCTATTCCCGGGCACCCGCCTAAGTCGCAGTCATACCAAACCTACCGTTAACGGCAAAAACAACGTCCAATCTCAGTACAACCCGCCCGTTGATTGCAGTCGCATTACTTCGGACTTTCTCTGTCGGACGTACTTCCCTCTTAGGCCGACCTTCGACCCTTCTATGGCTCACATTCGCGCCGACGGCATCGGTCGCCATCGGCGTCGGCCTTTTCTTCTCTCCTTCTTTTTCATTCGAGTCCTCTCTTTTCGGCACAAAAAACAAAACTAAGCCCACGCCGCCTCGGCGGATTTACATCGCCACTGATGCTTTCAGGCCCCCCCTCTTCTTCTGCCCTGCCCTCCAGCCCCCGTGCTCCACCCTCCCCCCTTTGATATTTCCAACCACCTGGTTGTTTTACTGCAAAGGGAAGGGAATCTGAAAATGTGTTGATTCTAGTCGGTCAATTACGCTGCTTTTTCGGCGCTGTTCGGTCTGTAGAGTGGGTTTTTGCTACTCGTCAACTGGGGTTGACCACGCTTACACAATGCTTGCTCAGCACAACATGTGTTTTCATACTTTGAGTTTGGAGGTAGTGGGATGATGAGAGCCAGAAAGGGATCATTGGTCCATCCATGGTGTTGCGGTACTGTTATCGTGATTCTACGTAGTCTGACTTCTATATGGTGTTTGCCTATATAATATAGACCTATTGCATGATTGAACTCTATATCAAGTCTTCAGACCCCCAATGATACCTCTCAAACAACTCAATTGATTGCAAATTGATACACAAAGCCAAATCACCCAGAAATCTAAAAAATTGAAACCATATTCACATGTAAATGTGGCGAAGACGAACCATGAGCCGCATCCACAAACCCACCTTGGCACCAACCAAGCAATCCACAAAAGAGCCCCATCCTCTCCCCTCCCCACATGAGAACCTCTTCATCCACATGAGGAAATTAAACGGGAACAACCTCTCTATTCAGTTAGCCCGCCCTTTCACCACAACTTACCTCCACCTCCTGAACAAACTCGCCCCAAACACTTACGACCCGTCCCGCCACCCCCCTACCCTTGAAACCTTAATCTCAAAAACAAACAAAACTCCACAAACGTAACACCATCCTCCCCCCCCTAATATATTCCCCCAATCAAACAAACCCCAAACAGCAAATTGAAAAAAATAATCTGTTACACTCAATTCAGACATCTACGAGATCAAGACAAAGAAAAAAAAGAAACTAGATTGTTGGGGAGAAAGAAGAAGGGAAAAAAAGTAAAACAATAAAGCCCCACCCGTGTCCCTATACTCGATCATTTAGGTGTTAATTACCCGTTTGGGAAATTGTGGCGTAGCAGAAAGAAGCAGAAGGGGAAAAAAGGTGGGTCAAAAGGAAATAACGCAAGAGAGAAAGAGAGCACGTATGGTAACAGTTGAACTTGGTTGTTATAGCTTGTTGAATCTCCCTCCCTTCTAACAGGTAACGCTACTATCCTATGTGTATTGAATGTGGGAAAAGTTTGTCGAGGAACGAAATCGCCTTATCTAATCGCCGCAAGTTCCCAAGAGAATATATATACGAGGATGTCGTGCAGTAAATCACCTTGCATATGTACGTGAATATGTACGTGATTTCCCCCCACATATAAAAGTGCTCTAAATACCGCCCCAGTCTATACCATGTTTCGATAAGTCCACCACCCCGCCGGTCCGCCATAATCATCAACACTGAATCCCGTACTTCCTCAGCGTCTCCTTCGCAGTCGTAATCCTTATTCCGATTCTTTGCAAAGAAGAAACATGTTAGTTCATGCGCAAAAGAAAAAGGAAGAGAGGAAAAAACGTACCTGGCATCTAAATCGTAGCTCCCCCACTTGGTAACTTCATCCAACCAATCCCTACACTGCCCTAGCACCTCAACATGCTCCTCAGGATGCCCCTCTGCATCCGCCTCGCGCCAGATGTTCGCCGCCATTTCGTACCGTGCGCACGGCGCCGTCCAGTTGTCTTTCAGGCCCCCAGTCAGTAGCGCACGATCCACGGACAACACTTCCTTCTCAAGAAGAACCTTGGCTTCAGCCGGCTGCCCCATGCTGCGTAGCGTAGCAGCGCGGAGAACATGTAGTATAGCTTTCTCGTCGACGCTTTCCTTGTCCCAGTGCGGGTTGGCGGGAGATTCGCTCCAGGCGAGGTTCGCGAGCGAGACGGCGAGGTGGTCGTTGCGCATGCGTTTGTAGCCGTTCCAGAAGTATATCATCTCTTCGATGGGCGAGATGCCGACAGCGTCGATGAGGCCGCACTTCCATTCTTTGGCACGGGCTTCCCATTTTTGGATCTTGCGGCTGACAAAGACGTCAAAGGGGAGTTGGCGGGCCATGAACTTCTTTTTGCCCGTGTTGGGGATTACCTTTTTCATGATCTCTTCGGCCTTTTCGCCGTACTTCTTTGCTTCGGTGGGGTTGGTGGTCTTGTTTTTTCTGTACAACTCGATGTAGGACGCGGCGATGATGTAGTAGTATAGTCCGTGACTCCAGTTGTTCAGGGTGACGCATTTGTCGAACCCAGCGGCAGCGGCCTCGTAGTCGTGCATATACATGTTGTTGAGACTACGTTCGAACCAGCTCAGGGCCTCGAGTTGCTTGAGCTTCGTCTCGCCCGCCTCGGCTATGAATTGAACAGCCTTTTCGAGCTCTTTCTCAGATGCCAGCATTCGTGATTCCTCAAGAAGCCACAGATGACTCTGGGGATACCTTTCACGCATGTAGCGGAGCAAAGCCATACATTTTTCCTTAGGATATGCACCCTCTCCATGTGATGGGAGAATGTCGCAAAAGTTTGTAAACCCATTTAGATATCCCATCAGGACCACACCGGCCATGGCACCATGGATGTTGTCAAACTTGGTCGCCTGCCACAGCATCTTCATGCCTCGTTCTCGGTCACCCTTGAAACCGACTACCTTCAGCAAGGTAGCAAATGAGGGCGGTATAAATGAGAGAATGAGTAGTAACATCCCAAAACAAAAGTTAGATCCAGACAGAACAAAAGTATCTACTGGGTGATCGCTAAACGAAGCAATGTCCTGGCCCTCATCGCTTAATGTGAGCTGCTCAAAATATTCGATGGCGTTCGGTATTGAAGATGAGTTTTCACCTGCTGTAGGTAGAGCCGGTGCTGAACTAGATTCCACGTCAACTCTCTTTTGGGCATTGTTTAGTTCCACTGAAGCATTCTTGTCAACAGGGACATTAATGTGACCTGTATATTCAAGAGGTGTTGCAACCTCCGGCCGGTCTTCTGCAGCATCCACGAATTCAAAATCATCGTCGTTGTCATCGTGTGCGGCCTTTTTTGTCTCCGGGGTAATTGTCGTAGTCTGCTTAAGATCGGACGTCGAACCTGCAGCAGATGCATTCGCAGGTGCAGCAGCCTTGGAGCCCTGAACCTTGCTACTCTTCAAACTCGAAGGGCCTGATCCACCTTTTAAAGAGCTACTCGACCCTGAGGAGTTGAGACTGCTTGTACTCCTTTCCTTGAGGAAGTTCTTCTCATTCTGTATCACACCCTCCAACGCAATATATGCTTTCCTCAGCTTGTAGAAACTCTTGATGGCCTCAGTCAAGCTCTCGTTGAGCACACCCACAACCGCACTCATCAACTGTGCTTCCGCCATGCATACCACATATTCAGTGCCCGGGGGGTATATCGACGACCGATACGAGTTTGGGTCTTTGCTAGCGCGTCGCTGTTGTTCGTAGGCTGAGTTCTCGGCTACATACAAGGCATTGGCGGCTGTGCCTCATGTCAGTCTAAGTTCGGAAGACCGGGAATGGGCATCTGACGAGACCTTCGCGGACGATTTCTGGTTCAAAACCCAACGTTGCCCTTATGAAGACGCATACACCTGCTCCAAGCTGTAGTATGTAAGCTCAACACTCCATGGAATATGTCTGCAAGTTGAACGTTAATACATACCTGGTGAAATGGAGAACTGCCCTTGTTAAGGTGAATTTCGGCGTTTTCGATATCGTCGGCCATGATATAGTTAACAGCTACGTTGGCACGCCATTAGTTCTGCATGCCACATTGCCTGAAGCAAAATGATCCGTAGGATTCCTACCACCCATAGCTTCCTGAACTACCGAGCGTCAGCAACCCATTTTGCCTCACGAATACCACAAGCCTCACTCTGTGCAAACTCATCCAAAGAGTCCAGACTCTTTGAATGCCCGGGTGTATGGCCCTTGAGCCACCCACCGACTTTGAACATGTTGCCTAAAAAAGAAAGTCTGGTAGGCGGGGAAAGAAGATCGAAGCCTCGCCAGCAAAGAAGTTGAGGAAAGGGAAAAACGGAGCAAAAGCTGGGGGAGGAGAGAAAGAGAGAAAGTATAGTATATTACAAGGGCCCGCGGACAGCGGGATAGCCCCAGCAAACGCGATGAGCGGGTATCTATGTATGCATTAACCTAGTAAGCCATCCAGACAAATGCGCCTAATGCGTCGGAGCTAAACGCAGTACGTCATGCTCTGCGGCGGGCGGTCAGATAGGTACATTTTCGTCCGCAAGCCCACGCATGCTTACACCCAAGTCTTACAAACATAGCAATGGGCAGCCTAAGAAAAAAGGATTTAGTTCCTTTAGGCAGACATATTGTACCTGGGAAAGCCAAGCAGCGGGTACAGCTGGAAAGTTAAAACCCCACCCGCGAAACGCGAACCGGGGTTGCCAATGAGCGTCACGTGATTGTTAGATCTGCGGGTAAGTTGCCCGCCTCCGCCGCCGCCGCCGATGCTAGAGCCGCGACTACTACCAAGCCTACGGAAGCACAAACACCAACGCATCCCTACCCATCGGTCCAGATACTACGAGATTATTTTGCAGCATCAATCGCACTACACAAATCTAGCACGATGTCCGGCTCAGCGCAAGGAAGCAATGATATGAAGAAGGCCGTGACCAACGACTCGAAGAACGGCGAGCAACCGCTGGCACCGGAGAAGAAGCCTGCGACACAACTCGAGGAGGATGACGAGTTTGAGGACTTTCCCGTCGAAGGTAGGCAGCAAGATGAGTTGGCTATAGGATTAGCTGACGGTAGGGCCAGACTGGACAGAAGAGGAGACACAGATCCCCAACGGCAACACACACCTGTGGGAGGAGAGCTGGGATGATGATGACACGAACGATGACTTTGCCGTGCAGCTGAGGTAAGAGGTCTATGTTTGGTATTGCGTAGTGTCAAAGCTGACAACATGCAGGGAGGAGCTGAAGAAGCTGGGCAAATGATGAACACACCACCACGATGTTACGACACGATAGCATTTCACCGGGAAGCCGCGATGGTGGTCAATAGAGGGTGCAGTACGACACGGTCTGAGCGGCCAGGGCATATCACAAACGGCATCACAGCGTGTCTGAAGCTACAAACAAAAGACTACAATCGAAGCATGGTTCATCAATATTGAAACCACAAAGAGCTATATGGCTACATTATCATAACTTCGACGATATACCTTCCCTGTTCTTGAGCCACCGTTCACCTCTTTGAGTGACTGTTTTACTTACTTGACAGGGCAGAGACACCGGGCAGATCCTTACCCTCGAGCAGCTCAAGCGACGCGCCGCCTCCGGTTGAGACGTGGGAGAGCTTGTCTTCTACACCGTACTTGGCCGCCACAGTAGCTGTGTCACCACCACCGATGATGACAATCTTGCCGCTCTGCGCAGCGTCAACAGCGGCGTCGAGTGTCGCCTTGGTACCAGCGGCGAACTTGTCGAACTCGAACACACCAGCAGGACCGTTCCAGAGGATGGTCTGCGCCTCATCGATGGCCTCCTTGTAAAGCTTGATCGACTTCTCTCCACAGTCGAGACCCATCCAACCATCTGGGATGCCGTCCTTGTCCTCGGCGTAGCCAGTTTTGGCGTCCTTGTCAAACTTATCAGCAGTGATGTAGTCGACGGGGAGCACAATCTTGACGTTGTTCTTCTTCGCCTTCTCGACAAGGTCCTTGACGGTCTTGCTGCCAGCCTCATCGAACAAGCTGTCACCAATCTTGACGCCCTCAAGAGTCTTCTTGAAGGTGAAGGACATGCCTCCGCAGATGATCAGGCTGTTGACCTTGCCAAGCAGGTTGTCGATCAATTGGATCTTGTCGGAGACCTTCGCACCACCGAGGATGGCGAGGAAAGGTCGCTTGGGCTCCTCGAGAGCTTTTGCGAAGTAATCAAGCTCCTTCTTGACAAGGAAGCCAGAGGCCTTTTGTGGAAGGTCAACACCGACCATGGAGCTGTGCGCGCGGTGAGCAGTACCGAAAGCGTCGTCTATGAATGATTAGCTTTGTGTTTTCACCAACGCACTCATTGTATTACTCACTGATGTAGACGTCACCCAGAGCAGTCAAGCCCTTCCTGAACTCGTCGACCTTGCTCTTGTCTACCTTTTGCTTCTTGCCATCATCGTCCTTGTAGCTACCCTCCTCCTCGGCGTGGAAGCGTAGGTTCTCTAGTAGGATGACTTGGCCACCGCTAGCGCTGTTGACGGTATCCTCGACCGACTTGCCAACGCAGTCGTCGGTGAAGGTGACGCTCTTGCCAAGGAGCTTCTCCAGCTCGGCAACAACCGGCTTGAGGCTGTATTTTGCGTTTGGCTTTCCGTCTGGTCGGCCAAGGTGGGACATGAGGATGACGGCTTTGGCGCCATTGTCGATGGCGTGCTTGATTGTGGGAAGTGCGCCGACTATGCGCTGGTTGTTGGTGATCTTCTTGTCGGCGTCCAGAGGGACGTTGAAGTCGACCTAGAGATTGTCATGGTTAGATGTGACCTCTGAATTGTACAAAGTATCATAAGATTCACTTACTCGAATCAGGACGCGCTTGTCCTTGAGATCGACGTCGGCGATCGATAGCTTGTTGGAGAGAGACATGACGTGTGTAGGGGGTGTACTGTGATGGCGCGTCAGTGAAGCTCTTGCTCTTAAGCTGTCTGAATTTGGGCGCAATTGGTAGTTTGTGTTTTTTTAAGGGCTCACTTACAGGAGAAGATGTGGATTAAGGAAGAAGAAGGAGAGAAAAGGGTGGTGTTTGGTCTGGGTTGTAGTATGTTGCTAAGCTTGGTGGGGGTGGTCGCAGCGGGGCAGTCAGTCCACAAGTTCCTCTCCTGCATGCAAAGCTTCTTGCTCCTTATCGAACCACAAAAAGAAAACCAGCGTGACTAAAACCAAGCCTCATTAGCTAAAGTAAAATGTTTTAGCTGCCCTTGTACTGCGCAGGATGCGCGAGTGAAGCCCCCCTCCCCCGCGGCCGAGAGTGACGGCTGGTTTCGGAGAGCAGTAGCTACAAGAGCTTGCAGCTCCTAGCATTTCCTTTCGCTCTCCGATGGTACATCGACGGTCCCCAGTGTCATTAATGTTTCAAACTGAACAAAGTCATTACGAAATGCCCTCATGTTAAACCAACAACATAATAAAATAGAAAAAGCATTTCATTCTGATCTAGTTGACAGTTGTATACGCAAATCTTAGTTCCTCTGAACAAAAGGTCGACAGACCCAACGCCGCGCAAATGCCCATTTAATTGTAGAGACGCACAAAAAAGGTCAAGGGCAGCAAATCGAGATCGTCATGATCCAGCTTACGTGTATCCATGATAGTTGTACAAGGGAAGTCTGTTTGTATAGTGGGAGAGACTTAGGCGTCTTCGGCGGAGTTGGTCAAGGAAAGGTAGGCAGTCCAGGCAATACCCACACTGGATACAAAAGGCTGGCAGAGAGTTAGTCTCGCCTAGGTTTTTCGAGGCCGGGCAACTTACAATTTGGTATTGAATGGGCATGACACGGAAGTTGATGATTTGCACTGCTGGCCAGACCATGTAGTTGGCCTTGAGCGCAGGCACATAGACATCCTGGAACTTACGCTGCACGGCTCGCTTACCGCCGCCCTCGGCAATTGTCATAAAGGTAAAGAATGCAGCCAGACCAGCTGGGGCAAACAGGAATTGGTCAAAAGCCACGCGCTTCAATGCCGGCATCCATGTAGCAGTCTTTGTGACGGGGAATGTGGCGGACAGGAACCTGAACCACCTGTGCTGGATGGGCGACATGAGGAAACCGTACGACATGAACCTGGTGGTGCGCTCGAAATCAAAAGGCGGCGGCAGTTTCTTCGAGTCGGGAATGAGATCGTTCTCGTTGAATGGATTGCGCTTGTCGAGGTCGTGAATCTCAATCGCCAGGAAGTCGTCCTTGCCTGGGCCGCCCTTCTTGCGAACGGCGCGCTCTCGCACAGCAGTCAGGGTCTGCGCCACCGTGTCCGCAATACCACCCAACACCTGGTATCACTGTCAGTTCTTGCTTTGTGTACTTCTTGTAGATGTATTCGAGATTGACGTCGAAATTGATGCAGCGATCGCATGGTTCGGAAGGGGGGACTGTGTGCGACATGGGGCTCGCGATGCGCGCAAGTCTTACGGGGAGCGGAGGAGGGCACATACGGCGTTGGTGATCATTGTGGTGAGGACTGGTCGCGCTGCATAGTACTGGTTGTACTTGCGCGTGAGCAGACTCACGGCAGCCATTTGCAAAAGAAAGACAATCGAATGGAGCAGCGGCTGGTCGCTGTCAGTAGATGGTCAGGCGGTTGTCGGCAGTGTCGCTCACAATCTTTCCGTAGATCCAGCGACTGTTTAGCTGGTAAAGCAGTCTATGCCTGGTGCTGTTCATGGTAAGTGCTGGGTCCTGTGAAAAAGCTCTAGGTGTAGCGTTGCTCGCAGATGGCGCCCGATGACGTTGCTGAAACGCAGCCGAAGGTCCGTGTGCAGCGATAAGTGGCCCTCTTCTATCTCTCAAGGCTGTATGGCACAGGTTGCGAAGGCTGTAGGCGGATAAGGATGCTTTTGTGAGCAGAGGAGCAGTCTACCAGTATGAGGGGGTAGAAGGCGCAGCTTGCCTGGGGTTGATGCACGAATGATCATGGTGCAGTGGCGGAGAGTTTCACGCGCCGCGACCAATGACGGCTTTCATAGACCAAGGGACAGGCATCAACTGGAACCAGCCCAGTTCCGAGCGGATGCGGGCTCGTTCTACAAACTTCTATTCAATACCTATGTGTGTCTGATGCCTCACCGTCTATTCACACAAGGTTTCATGGTATGGCCCGATACAGTACCGGATATCTCGGCTCACCTGCTGAGAGGGGAAAGTGATCCTGGCACTCACCAACTTCACAAGTAGCATCATGGGCTGCTACAGACATGCATTCAAGACGAGCGCAAATCCAAAATGCATTCAATCTTCAATAATGCTTGGAAAGACGATCAGGGTATAATGGCTTCTAGAAAAAACTCATGGTGCTACAGCAACGATACTGGGCAAGTCGCGGATGTCTACAGCTTCGTTGGTGACCAGATCCACCACCCGTATGGACTCGACCGACAATACACCCGCAGTGAGCGCGAGCAACTTGATATCAGCCGTATAGCAAGACCCAGGCGAAAGTTGTCTGTGTGCAATTAGTATCCTCGGTCCGCAGCCGGTCAGGTTACATTTACTTACCCTACGCGTATGTCCGTCGTCAAACAGATCAAATCTGCCGTCTCTGTCCTTGTACTCTTCTGCTTGGCATAAACGACATTCTCGTCCGTGACGGCTGTTGCAAGTAACTCCCTTTTTTCTACACGAGGACCGCCTACAGATGATGTGGATGGATGTGATCTGTGCTTCTTCTCACCATCTCTTGGTCGCTTTACAATGACCAAGATTGCTAGCCTTCGCATTTTATCGGATCGGTTGACAATGAATACGTCCCATGTAAAGATCTCGCCAACTTGAATGCTGGGTGGCCCAGAAATCGTAAGTGTGACATTCACCTCGTTACTCGAGAGTGCATGCCCGTGCTGATCTTGAGAATCAGACCCGACAAGAGCATCCGGATTAGATGCGTTTGTCGCTTGACTCATAGAGCTGGTGGGACGGTGAAAAGCCTTGGCATGGCCAGATGCTTGTTCAGATGCAAAATCGACGGGTGTTTTCCATTCAATTGCAATGTCCGGTCGGCAATCGCTGGACATGGTGACATTGGCCTCAACGTTGAGTATTAGATAGTGACCCTTAGTTCCAAGTGATGGGGTTCCATCAGGGGAAAGATCTGGCATAATCTTGTACAGATATGTCAGTTGGTCGCCAGGCTTATGGCTAACTGTTGCGTCTTGTTCCGTGCTCAGCTCTTTGGTTTTGCCGCCATGTAATGCCAGCTTAACATTCTTGATTCTAACGTCATATGTAGCGAACTGGGCAACTTCTAGGTCCAGGGAAGCGATCAAAGATAGATCATTCACTGACGCATGGAGTCTTGAATATCTTACTCTCCATATGAGCGGTGGGAGCACCCTGAATATAGGCTTTTGGCCATTCCGGATAGGGCGGACCATTTCCCTTGCAACAGGAGCACTCGGCGTGACTTTGCTGATGCGCATGGCCGAAAGCCGGGGGTGGACACCGACCAGAGCTGGGTCGTTCTCGAATGACTGAAGTAAATTCAGTGGTGTGGGCACGCGGCTTGGGAGATAATCATCTTCCAGAGCATCATCTTTGGGGTTTTCTGCAGGCTTAAAGGAGGCCGTGGGTTGGAAGTAAACTGCGGGCTTGTGAAATCTGCCCTGAGGACGGACTACTTGAAATTAGATACTGCGAATACTTCGTAATCTGCAGACCTTACCAATGAAGATATCAACCTTCCAGATGACAAAGGTATGAGCATTACCACCTTCACCGTGACACACAATGCTAGGCTCGTCTGAAGGTTTGATGGTACCAGAATATATGAGTTCCTTTAGGGTTCCTGATTTGGGGTCTTGCTCAGGTGGGGGAGCAGTGCTGAAGGCGAATGCTTCCACATTGACCACCAATCTTTCAAGATATCCCTTGAGGGTAGAATCTTCCAACAGTGGTGTTCGAAAGACGACATATACAGCTAGTAGTTCATCTAAAAGCCTATGCATGAGTAAGAGACATGCATTGGATGGTAAACTGGCGAGACATACCGAGGAGAAGCACCTGTCGCTGCTCTAGGAAAGGTAGAATGGACCCATCATCATGTCCCGCACCATCCCAAGACTCGATGGCGGTTTTGATGTCGATTTCAGACTTTGCAGGAACAACTGCTTCCAGAACAGAGCTCTCGACGAACTCGAGGCTTTGGCGCGGCTGCGCTTCGGCCGTATCTGCAGCCATGGCTACGTCGAGTGAATAGCAGAGAGGGCACGTGAATCCGGTGCCTGAGCTAGGGGTCCCAGTAACCCGCGCTAGCCACAAGATCCGTGCGGGCCATAAGGTCCGTGCACCAATAAGTTGTTTCCACAGCTTCTTCGCAACTCAGCTCGACGACACGCACACGCGCGATACTCCATCACCTCTCGCTGCAGTCTCACCGCAATGAACGGATTTCCGCCTCCAATGGCGCCGCCTGGCTCCACTTGGACAACTGCTAAAACTCCAGATGGCAGGGAATACTACTATAACACGATCACGAAGCTCACTACGTGGGAGAAGCCTGACGAGTTGAAAGACGATGTTGAGGTGGAATTTATCCCACGGACTCCTTATTCGGTTGATAGCTAACTATGTGAATAGCGCGCACTCCCTGGCACCGGCTGGGCAGCCCACTGGGCAGACGGAAAGCGATACTTTGCGCATATTGAGACTAAGCAGACAACGTGGACTGTTCCTGATGTTGTTCAGCAGAAAATCGACCAGATGAGGCAGAGCCTGCCGCCTCAGCGGCCTCCCCCAGTTGGTCCCTCTGGCTGGGCGGGGGGACCACCCTCGAATGCGCAGTCGTACGAGAACAGACGCCCCGAACGCGACGAGTACCGCCCCGATCGCCACGACCGTCGCGACGATAGAGACCGGGATCGCGAGTCTGGCTTCGTTGGCGATCGACCCAACATTAGTTTCACGGCAGGCACTGAGCTTCAGTTTTCCACGCCCCAAGAGGCCGAGGCTGCTTTCATCAAGGTGCTCAAGCAGATCAAGGTTCAGCCTGACTGGTCGTGGCAGCAGGCTGTGCGTGCTGGTATTCATGACCCCAACTGGCGTGCCATACCAGAGCCCGAGAAGCGCGAGGAGGCTTTCCGGAAGTATTGCGAAGATTTGCGCGCCCAGGAAAAGCTCAAGGAGCAGGATCGCCAAGCCAAGCTGCGCTCTGATTTCACTGCGATGCTGCGTTCGCACCCGGAGATCAAATACTACACCCGCTGGAAGACTGCTCTTCCCATTATCGAAGAAGAGACCATTTTCCGCTCTGCCAAGGACGACAATGAGCGAAGGACCCTGTTCGAGGAATACATCATCTCTCTCAAAAAGGCGCATGAGGAAGAAGAGGAAGCGAGCAGAGAATCCGCCCTCGACCAAGTCATGGGTCTGCTACAGGCACTGGATCTGGAGCCCTTTACTCGCTGGCACACGGCTGAGGAGAAGCTGGAGCGCAACGAAGAGTTCAAGAGTGAAAAGTTCAAGACTTTGACTCGCCTAGATGTCCTCGATCAGTTTGAGAAACACATCAGACAGCTCCAGCGCGAGCACAACGATCGAGTTCAGGCCGAGCGACGCATCAAGCGCCGTATCGAGCGCAAGAACCGCGATGCGTTCATAGACCTACTTGATGAACTCAGGCACAAAGGCGCGCTACGTGCTGGCAGTAAATGGAAAGACATTCATGAGCTGGTCCAAGAGGATGCCCGTTACACGGCCATGCTTGGACAAAGCGGATCGTCCCCTCTTGATCTGTTCCGCGATGCTCTCGAAGAAGAAGAGAGCAAGTTCCGTACCCTACGCCGACGGGCCTTGGATGTACTAGAGGTAAGTCTAGCTTTACACCGACATGCAACCCACCGCTAACTGTAGCCCTAGCAACAACGATTTGAGGTTACCACATCGACTCCTGTGGAAGAATTCCTAACTGTCATGCGAAAAGATCCTCGCACAGCTGATATTGACGAACAGTCCATGCACAGCATCTACAACTACGTCCTCAACAAAGTGAAGAAACGCGAGGAAGAAGAACGACGAGACGAGGAGTCCAACGAACGCTACGCCGTAGACAAGCTTCGCTCTGTTATCAAGCACCTTGATCCACCAGTGTCGGTATCAGACGACTGGGAAGCGGTACGTCCCCGTGTTGAGAAAACAGACGAATACCGCGCACTGAAATCAGATACACTACGCGAATTGGCGTTCGATAAGTACATCTCCCGATTGAAGGACAAGGAGAATGATCGTCGGGATAGGAGCAGGCGCGATGATCGCGACCGTGACAGGGATAGACGTGATCGAGATCGTGAGTATCGCAGCGGACATTCTGACTCTCACCGCCGTCATCGTACGCGCACTCGCTCACCTGAACATGACCCGTACGCTGCAGAGCGTCGACGAGCAGTGCAAGACAGAGAGGCGCGCTATAGAAACAGCGACAGCACGGGCCTGTCTCCTGTTCCACGTCGTGACCGCCGAGATGATGATCGGTATGAGCGCTCTCGTCGAGGCTCTCTTGGAGATCACTATGGTCGTGAGCGCCGCGAGCGTGAAGTGGAGCGTGAACGATCTTACGTTAGCAGAGCCGACCCTCGTGAGGCGACTGTTAGTCTGCTCGACTACGGCGACAGCGGTGGCCGCACTTCCTCGACCCGACGCCGTCGCGACAGCGAAGAAAGCTCTAGTAGGCGCGATCGAGAGACCAAGGTATGTAAACAAGCAGTGTTACATTTTACAGGAAATGACTAACTTTTCTCAGCGTGCACGCTACTCTCCCCGTGGTGCGGACCGCAAGTCCAAGACCCCCGCTCCTGAACCGTCATCCAAGAAGGAAGAAGAAGATCGCGCTCTCCGTAGCGGAAGCGAGGAAGGCGAGATTGAGGAAGATTAGGGGTTTTCCATCATTCACCCCTCGCGTAGGAGGTTGACCCGATATGGTCGCTTCCTAAACACCAAAGGATCTAACCCCTTCACCCCGAGGCTTAATTACTAAGTAAGTGGGCTTTAGTACTGTCGTCTTGTGAATGAGTGAGCAGAATGTTCATTCCAGCAGCTACGGTCATGGTAGCACATACATCTGTACTGTAGTCTATCACATGCGTCTGTACTGTAGTCCACCACATGCCCCTGTACTGTAGTCCACCAGAGATGTAACGTCCGTCCCTGCGTAACGAGACACCCTGCGTGCCGGGACCGGCCAATCAGCTTACTTAAATCACGGACTTCTGCTCAGAATCTGCAAGCTGATTGGCCGGTCCCGGCACGCAGGGTGTCCCGTTATGCAGGGATGGACGTTAGTCTATAAAAATTTACTCCTGTACAAATTTCCGTTCAACCTATCTCCACTTTCATGGATATTCACGCCGATACATAGTTATCGTTGTGTAACTCAAATTCTCCGTATGCATATGTTATTTGATTGTATCTACACAATTGTCTCTATCAAGCACGTGAACAAGCGATAAGTCCGCCTATTTCTTGGTGAGTAATCTGTATATGGATATAGTTGCGAGAACAAAATCAATGACATTTGAGCCTTAGTTGATTCAGACCAACAATCACATGCGAGGGCCATGGCAAGGACAGGGTTGTCACGGCAGCTCGGTAGGGCTGTCCCACAGGCCGGGTATGGGTACCGAAGACACAGTAGTTCAGCATGGTAATCTAAAATTATAAGTGAACACCCCCCTTAACATCGTTCTTATCTCTTACATCTGCAATGGTGAGGGGTAGGCTATGCAAAGCTGATTCGTCGTCGGTTCATGCCCTCGCACAAGCTGTGTCAGATTCTGGGGAACCTCGGCTCATCCGAAGCTACCCCAGACTCTCCCCGCTCTCCTAACGCATAAGCACGCGTCGTTCGTAAACGACGCAACGCGACCAACATGCACACGGGAGACAGCCTGTCATTTACATTAACGACCCAACTTTCAGCTTGAATTTCGCCTCCAATCAACCCGGCACCATGTCCGCCACTGCGTTTGTCCCCTTTTCTGAGCCGCCGTACATTGTTGGGCTTCCGTCTCCATACTACAAGGAGACGCATCTGAGATGGCAAAAGGCGTGTCGCGCGTTTGTGCAGAAGAATATGATTGAGAAGGCGCTGGAATGGGATACGGCTGAGACGGTGCCGGAACATGTCTTTGAGACGTTTGCGAAGGCGAATATGTTGATCCCTACGCTTCCCGCGCCTCTGCCGGTGGAGTGGCTGAAGAAGCTAGGGATTCATGATATTCTTGGCGTGGTCAAGGTCGAGGAATGGGACTATATTCACACCATGATCTACGCTGATGAGGTACAAAAAGAGCGACCTGTTTCTAAAGAGGTGCCCTTGAGCATAGCTAACGGAAATGCCAGATGGCACGATCTGGTCTCGGAGGACCCCCAGGCTCTGTCACAACGGGCATGTCGTTTGGCGTACCACCTCTCTATAAATTCGGCAATAAACAGCTACAAGAGCGCTTCCTACCAGAACTCTTGACGGGCAAGAAGCGGACTTGCATTGCGATTACCGAGCCCGAGGCTGGATCAGACGTCGCAAACATCACCACAACGGCTATAAAGACACCTGATGGAAAACACTACATTGTCAATGGCTCCAAGAAGTGGATTACAAATGGTATTTGGTCTGATTACTGCTCCATGGCCGTGAGAACTGGTGGGCCAGGACCAACAGGATTGTCGATGCTGGTTGTGCCTCTGAAAGGCTATCCGGGAGTAACCATGCGCAGACTCAAGGTTGGAGGGCAGGTTACTGGGGGCACGACATTTATCGAGCTCGATGACGTTAAAGTGCCCGTAGAAAATCTCATTGGGGAGGAAGGAATGGGCATGAAGTACATGTAAGCATGACACTGTGACATTGTGGCATTGTGTGTGTTCTACGGCTGACTGCATGGCTTACAGAATGACCAACTTCAACCATGAGCGACTCTCCATTGCCATTGGTGCAACTCGTCAAGCTCGTGTCGCTCTTGCCGCAGCGATGGAATACGTGATCAAGCGCGAAGCTTTTGGCCAGCCGCTGATCAATCAAGCCGTGGTTCGACACCGCCTTGCTAAAGCTGGTGCTTTGCTGGAATCCCAATGGACATGGGTGGAAAGCTTCGTTTACCAAATGGTACATTTGCCTAAAGCGAAGGCGGATATCGAACTGGGAGGCTTGACAGCCATGGTCAAGGCGCAAAGCGGTATCGTTCTGAATGAGTGTGCACAAACGGCACAGCTGCTCTTCGGAGGAAATGGCTACACCAAGTCGGGACAGGGAGAATTGGTTGAGAGTAAGTGGATATCAACTTTGAATCACTCGGGAAATGATTAACATGAACGATAGGAATATACCGCGAGGTTCCAGGTGTTAGAATCCCGGGTGGGTCTGAGGATGTTATGCTGGATCTTGGTATCCGACAACTGGTGAAGAATTTCCAAGCCAAAACGAAGGCTTTGGAGAGGCCGCAGGGTACATCAAAGCTATAGAAGATGTAGTAATAGTAGCAGTCATATTTTGTAGCCTACTTCAATACATAATCACAACCCCACACTTTGTGTTTGACTCTCCCGTGTTTCCGAAGGCCACGGATAGCGGGTGCAGCACTTTTCCGTGACTACGTCAGCACCTAAAGTCCGGCTCTTATCGAGGTGTGTGTGGGGCACCTGGTCAACCCCACAGCATTACTGTGAAAGTACCGATAGGTGTGAGGCCTGGAATCTTGATTTGTGAAGTTTATTGTCGTATACCGGCCTTTCTTCGATCGGACAAGAGCGCAGGCGTAGTCGGAGCTGGGGGTTGGATCCGCAAATCCGTTCCAAGATCCAGCGCTCGACCGCTCACCGTACCCAACGCAAGTATCCTGGTCATTGTGTTATGTTGCAGGCATGTGGGTGCCATGGGCAATGCACTGTGTGTCACATAAATACGAGTTGCGCAATAGTGCCGTGTCGATGAAGGGCTACTACTCGTGCCTTGTGCGACCTCTACACACGACTAGGGACAGGCTGTGATACCGTCGTCGGCCGAGCTCTCGGTCGGCCACGTTCGTGGCGCTCGAAAGACCAGACCACGTTTAGTACCCGGATACCCTGCAGGTCAAATCACATAGCCTATCAACCCAAGCGTGTTGAGACCAGACGGGGGCTTGATCGCTCGTGTCAGGCTGGACGATTCATCAGGGTATTACTGTCGTGTGTCTTTGTTCATGGATAATATCGCTCAGTCTCAGGGTAGTCCCAGGTATCTCGGAATGGGCCGCAGAGGATGCATAATTCGGACAGCAGGCTGTGGAGGAACATCGCCGATATCACGAATGAGAAAAAAATATATATGCAGGAGGTGCAGCAGCATGTGCCGGAGCGGGAAACGACTAGGAGCAATCTGGAAGGATGGAAGGGGTTTCTGTTCAACGGGTTGGCGTCGCCCGAGACTTCCCCGAGAAGGAAAGGCGCTCCCCGCAATTTCTCGTCTCAGGAGGCGGCTTGCGATCATCCTCCACTCGTTCGTCCATTCCTGTTCGTCCAACCGCGCCCCCAGCTGCTGGACAAAGAAGCATGAGCCTTTGCTCCGAACCCCGATGGACTGCATCAAGGCCGCCCACCGTATTCTAGCCTCCGCTTTCACGTCATCAGCGGCCACCTTTTTTTCTTTGCATCACGCACATACACTAACTACGCGACAGTCGGCTCCAGAATGTCGCTGGGAGCGGTCAGCTCCCTCGAGACAAATAAAGGAGCAGAGTACGTGTAAAGTAGACACCGTGCCCGCTAACGTCCACAATGCAGGATTTTTATTGGGGTCAGCATCGGGGGAATAGACCTGGGCGAGCAAATGGCAAAAAGGCGCAGCGCTGCTTAGACGCCTATTATGCAACTCACGTGCGCCCGAGACGGCTAGCACGCCGGCTATGGAATCCAGAGCTGTCTGGCTTGGTCATGGTAGTCTGCCCTGGGTAGACCAATGCCGCCGACCCTTGGATGTTCATTTCCGCTCCCTACCACGATGATCCCGCATCGGCCCTCGTCTGTTGCGCGACTATTCGTGCCTTAACGACACCAGACACACCCCACCTTTTTACCCTGACTCGACACGTGTTGTCAAATGCGGTCGGCGTGTCGAATGCAGTCGGCTTAAGCATGGGACGGATGCTCTGCACGTTGACATGAGGGAGTGAGAAATTAACACTTGGCGTTCACAAGCCGCAGGTCATAGGGCGTGGCACCAAGCACACGCTCGGCTTTGCATGCGAACATGAACCGCGGTATCTTTTTTTTTGCTCGAACCTCAGGATTGGGGCTTACACTTGCAGCTGACGTTGCCAAACACATTCTGTCCCAAGAGTGGTCTTTGTCCCGATGGCTTCCGACCCCAGCGTCGACACCCTAAATCGCCAAGGATAAAGCGCCGGCCATCCGCATCTGGGGGACTGGGGTACCAGCTAACGATCCCCAGTGGGGACGGAGGCGGCGTCATGAGGGACAAATCGTACCAGGTGAAGCGCCGCTTGTCTGTGAGTCCAAGCACACGGCTTAGCCCTGGCAGTGTAATCCACTCTTGCCAAATACAACTTTATAATCTTTGCCTGCCCCCGACACCCCTCACGCGTGATCGGACTTTTCTTGACGTTTTCTTTTTTTCTTTCCCCAGATACTTCCGTGTCCTGCAATACATATACCAGACGACAAGCACTCCGCAACCATGTCTGACTATTCGGCATCGCCATCCGACCATCACAGTGATATCCACGCACCAAAACGCAAAGCTACCCAGGCAGGCCTCGATGGTCACACAATCGGTCGTTCGGTCAAGAGGAGGGCTTCCAAGGCTTGTCAATGTTGTCGAGCTCGCAAGGTGCGATGCAATGTCACAGAGCATGGCGCTCCCTGCACAAACTGCAGACTAGATGAAGTCGAATGCATTGTATCGGAGAGCAGGCGCAAAAAGTCAGTGTCAAATTTTGTTTCAATGCAGTATTTCCAAATTTCCCACCGGATGCGACCTGCGCGGCAGTTAGAGATCGTCGGCTCCGATATGCAATGTCGTAGTGAGCACCGGCATGCAAAGTCGGCTGAGGTGTCGCTACCACTAGTCTAGCCGCATATGGCATGTTCAGCCTGTGCAACAGTCGCGTGCAACCAACAACTGCCGCTACGCCATTTCTGACCTGTGCACGCCGTGCTGACTCCGCGAATAGGAAATGGAGCAAAGACGATGACCAAGGCACAGAAAGCACCACCTCTTCAGGAAATGTCACTCGCAAAATTGCGTCGCGTGAGGCTCTAGACGGTTCCCAGGGACTAAACTCAGCCACATCGCGGGCGTCACATGAGGCGGAATCAAGACGAGACGAGCACGTTCCTCACTCGATATGTTTGTGGGACCTATGACAACCTTGTTTGCACAGCACTGACGCATATCCCAGACCAAAGCCATGGCCATCGTGTCAATTCCTCTGCGTCCATGTCGGATATGCGGCGCCGGCTTTCAATTACCTCGCAAATCAACAACCTACCAAATCTGCCTTTTTCGCCTTTTTCAAATGAGCCTCGAGCTCCATTTTTCGGAAGCCTACCGCAGAAGCCTGCGCCTGGCGAACTTCCAAGATTCATCAAGCCTCTTCCGTCTAAAATCGGGCCTGATGAGATTTCGTATCTGGAGAAGAAGGGTGCCCTGAACGTGCCTAGGGGAGCCCTGCGTAGCGAGATGCTGCGCGCCTACGTGGAATTTGTTCATCCATATATGCCATTATTGGACCTCCACGACTTCCTTATCATGGTAGACGGCCGAGACGAACGCAAGGGCAAAGTCAGTTTGATCTTGTTTCAAGCGGTCATGTTTGCAGGATCAGCATTTGTTGATATGGAACACCTGCGCGCTGCGGGCTATACTTCTCGCAAGGATGCCCGCAAGGACTTTTTCCAGAAGACTAGGGTAAGTTCAGAACCCCTTCTTTCACCAGGCGGCTTGGCGTGTTGCAGCAGCCCAATCGGTCCGCAACTATCGGACGGCATGCCCATGCACCGACTTTCCGACCCCGTGCCAGATAGTGTTAATTTGGCTACTGCAAACTTGGTGAGATTGAGCCCTAAGCTAACCATGTGACAGATTCTCTATGACTTTGATTACGAATCCGACCGCGTTTCGCTGGTCCAGGCACTGCTATTGCTGACGTACTACTATGAGACTCCTGATGACCAGAAAGATACCTGGCATTGGATGGGCGTTGCAACGTCTATTGCCCACACTATTGGCTTACACCGAAACCCTGATAACACCAACCTTGATAGCAAGCGCGTCAAGCTCTGGAAGCGAATATGGTGGTCAACTTACATGCGAGATCGGCTTATTGCGCTCGGTATGCGCAGACCTACAAGGATAAAGACCGAGGACTTTGATGTGCCAATGCTTACTCTGGACGATTTCGAGCTTTCACCTCTGCCAGAGGATGTTACATGCCTTCCAGCGGATTGTCGTATTGCCAGAGATGTGGATGTGCAACGGCAGTTGGCCATCCTGTGTATTGAGAAGGCCAGGCTGTGTTTGTGCATCTCGCATGTTCTGTCCAAGCAATACTGCGTGCTCAACAACAACCAGGGCCTCCAAAACGACCGTACAACCATGATGTTGCTTCCCAAGAAGCTGGATCCTGAGACGAGTGAAGTCAAAGCATGTGATGAGGATCTTCAGAGATGGGTAACGGAACTGCCTGAAGAGGCAAAGTATACGGACAAACCAAGCGGCGTTCCAGCTATCGATCTTGCACGATCACTGCTGCACATGGTCTTTTTCACTACATTGTCCGCGCTGCATCGGCCCCAGGTTCTACCAAACTCACAAGGTGGTCCAGCGAGCGCTCCAACAAAGAGCAACGTCGAACCCGAGCTTCTTGATGTTTCACGCCGCAATGTTCGCCGCGCAGCTTCAGCAATTACATCGATTGCTCAGCGGCTTGAACAAGGTGGTCTCGTCAGGTATTTGCCAACAACCGGTGTCACCGTTCTCCTTCCGGCCATTATCATCCACTTGCTTGACATCAAGGCGCCAGAAGAGGAAACACGACGATCGTCCCTACGAGGCTTTTGCCAGTGTATGGCCGTCATGGGCCAACTGCGGGATGTCTATGCCGCTGCCGACTACTCTGTGGCCTTCCTCGAGGCTGCAATCCGGAAAGCAGGCATTCACGTTGCGCCCGTAGCCGCCCAAACTTCACCCGTAGCCAAGAGCGCGCCAGCAAGGACAGTCGAAGAACTCGTAGACGCCGGCCGACGACTAGATCTCGTCAACGAAGCATCGACAACCATCACATCAGCAACATCACAAACCGTCCGTCCCTCAACTCTCACACCACCTCCTGACCACGGCACCACAAACATGCACGCCCTGGAAAAACACAACAACGAACCAAATGTAACCGACGAAGAGGTCGCCCGCCGCCTCGAAACCTTCCTCGCCTCCACACCCCCGGATTCGGACCACGAGCACATGTCCAGCATCACCATCTCGCAAGAGAGCCCGATAGTGACCGCCACAGCCGGCCTATCACACTCTCACCATCACAGCCACAACGACATGGCGGACATGAACAAGTGGAGCGCCTTCGATCTCAGCGCCTTCTCAATCATCAACCACCACCAAGACGACGAGATGCTCTTTTCAAGCCTACCCCTCAACAACGAGTTTGACGACGGCGATTTTGACAAGCTACTCAACATGGAAGCCGTGGGTGAATCGCATAATTTTGACGATGTGACGTTTGATTCGGGCAATGCGGGGAACATGGGGCTTGGTGATGTCGATTGGCTTGTTGCCGCGGAATAATCTTTTTTTGCCGTTGAAGCGTAAGAGAACGGAAAAAAGTATTTCTTTTCCTCTTCTCTCGTCTTTTGAGTTTTCGGCTATTTTAACGACGTTAATGCCTCTTTTTTGGACTACATTTCTTCTTCGAAGAAGGATTCTAGGTTATTCTCTCTTTTGAAGGAATAGAAGTTATGGGAAATGGCCTTTTCTTTTACGGCAATGGGAAATGAAGGGAGAAGACGGGAATTAAAAAGCTTACGACTTGGTTTATATATATACCCATCTCGAGGTTTTGTATTTAGGTTGGGTTTTTTGATTGTATATTTCTGGGCTTTTTTTTTCTTCTCTAGCTACTAGTCATTCTCGGATATATATGAGAAGAATATTATTGCATCTTCATGAGCAACTCGCACTTTCTATGTGACTTTATTAGTTTCCTTTCTCCCTTTCATATCCTATCTTGCCTCGTTCATCTAAAACTAATTGGAAGAAGTCACAAGGGTCGAAAATGTATGCAAACAGACAGACCCCTTGCCTTTGATAATATCAACGCCCGACATGGTCTGTCATAGGTATTAACATGGAATAGACGAACTTCTTGTTGTAGAAAACATGAATCTAGGGATGATATTATGAGTTGCTCTTCTCTCTTCCATCCATCCTCCCTCTTTTGACATTAAATAAATACTAAATAAGATCGGGAGCGTAACGTTTGAACGAAAATACCAAGGTAAGTGCTCTATCAGAGATGAGGGGAAAAGAAGAGAAAAAAGAGAGAGAAAGATGACGAGCGACTCCAGCGCCCTCCCATGATGATTCAGTCCCATGATGAGTGTTCCGGTCCTTCTATCCTTTAACCAACAATACCTCGTTGTTGTTTTCCCTCCTCCTTTTGTCGTCGGGAAGACGAATACAATCTACTCTTCCTGAGCCCAAACCTTCTCCCTGAGCATCATACGCTCATTCTTCTCTTCTTTCCCTCCATTGTAAGCCTTCTTCCACGCAAAGTACTCGCCTAGTCGAATCTCAGCATAGCTAGCATAGTCAAAGTCGATGAGCGAGATTTGTGCTTGGATCAATGCCCAAATACCCCAATAGAAACCGGGGACACCACGGAACAAGTCAACCTGTTCAAACAACTGATCAAGCTCAGACTCGTTGTATGACTTGTTTTGATGAGTACTGAAGCTGCGCAGATACTCGCGGAGAAAGGCGCGACGGATGGTGCGTGTGGGCATGGCGTTGTAGTCGCAGTCAAAACCACCCCATTCGGCAAAGTGGTTTGCAATGTCAAATGAAGCAGGTGCAGGCGTAGCATACTCGTAGTCGATAAAGGAAACACAGGCTGCCGTCTCAGGCTCGTCGGAGCAACTAGATACACTGGACCGACGAGAGGCTGAGGCGGAAGACGGCGAGGGCTCGATGATCACGTTGCCTGAGAGGAGGTCGCAATGGGCGAAGACAAACGGATTGGAGCCACCGATTCCTGGCGTGTCACCAAGTATCTGCATCAGACTTTCGAGTTCCTGCATCAGCTCATCTTTCCTCTCCGACTGGGCAGTTGTGTTGGTCGGCAAGGCAAGGATCCATTTCTGCATAGTAGTCCACAGATTCGGAATGGGCTTGCCTGGTGTGAGTGTGGCCATGGCAGCCAGAGACTCACGCTTGTTGTTTTGCGAAGTGAGTTGGGCAGGCGCAGGACATATGCTGCTAATACTCGAAATAGGTAATGTGGCATGCCATTCTCCCAACCTCTGAGCTACTCCTCGCCATACTTCTGGCCGACGCAGGTCGGCAGGCGTACACACGGTGCCTTGAATGAACTTGTATAGGAGACCATTTTCAAACCGGGCGTAGAGAGCCGGGGCGAGGTTATGGCGGGCAAGCAGCGAATGAGAGCGAGCTTCCTCTAGAACTTTGTTTTAGCGCTGTACAGCATGGTACCGACATGCACTTACTCTCGCGGTCTATGAGGACGTCAGTGTCCTTGCCATATGCGCGCAGCAGGATGGCGTCGTCTTCGACTTCCGTCTTTGATAGGCCGGGTAGCTTGTTCACCGCCTTGAGAAGCTACACCGTAGTCTTAGCCGTGCGCACATAAAGGGGCAGCAGGGGCGGTCGCGAGAGCATGCCCACGAGCAATTGCATGTGTGTACGTGTGCATACCGTGTTTGTGATTCCATCTGTGAACCTGACAAACTCAATTGTGTCTTTTGAGTCTTTCCACTCTGGGCGGAGAGCGAGGATAAGGGCGAGGGCCGAGTTGTGCGAATCCGCGTAATCGTAGTACTGCGGAATGTTGCGCAGGGAATCGTAGGGCGACTGAGATTTACTCATGGCGATGGTGGTTCTGGTGCATCGTCAGTCTTGTATGCGCAGTGCAGGCTTGACATACGCCAGCGGCGTTAATTGCATGTGAAGAAGCCAGGGCGGCAGGGGATGGAAGACAGCGACTGTACAGGGTTGTAGGCAGGCTTACCTGGTAATTCAGATGTGGGAGGTAGCAGAAGGGGAGCGTGCTGGGCGGCGAAAAAGGAATGAAGAGCAAAGACGAGGGCGTCGCGGTAAGGAAAGGCAGGTAAAGTCAAGTGCGGTCAATCGCTAGGCGGTGCCGCTCTGGGAAGTCGCGTGGGCGCTCTTTCCTGCCCCTGTAGCCCCGCAAACCAGCGCCACAACTCCCGAGACCCTGTCTCCTAGCGCCACACCAGCTGGAATCCACAATTCCATATTCCGTACCCACTTGTACCCTGAGACTAAGGGATTTGTATGTCTTTCTACTGTTTATTCCACCCTTCTTTTTTAAAAGTAATTGTTGATACTGATGTCACTGGTTTTGGCGACTGTGTGGGCTGACGTGGTGAGGACGGATTACATTCCCGCTGCTTTGGCGCACCATGCACATGTGCCTGTTCCTGGCTCAACAGCCACCATGACGTCTGTCATCATCCGTCTTGCACCGCCGCCTACACCTACATCCATTCAAACCTTAGTATGCAACCACCCACCCATGCCCTTGTACACGTCGACTGCGGGGCCTGTCACTCGCCATCTCGCCAGTGGGAGCCTTTGATGGCCCCGATTGGTAGATAGGAAACCACCTTCTGCATCGAGGAGAAACATACATATGTACCTTGTCCATTCATTATTTCAAGTAACTTGCCATCTAAAACGCCGCGCTCAATGCGCATGTAGGGTATATCCATAACATAAACACCATCATTCCTGCCTCAAGAGCCCAGAGTCCCGTCAGTCCCGATGTGTCATTGCACCTTTCTTCCACTTGCCTTCCGCGCTCTCCACTTGTATGAGCCAAGGCCAATGTCCATGGCACCGCTCTGTACACTCGTCAGGCCATCAAAAGACTCTTTTCCCAACGTAACCACCTTGACTGTATTGCCGAATCCCACTGCAATACTGCGCTTGCCTAGCTTGACAATCGGACCAGGTGCTGCCACGAACAACTCATCTTCATACGACTCTGTCGCTACATCATCCGTATCATCGGGCATCAAGGGTCTTGAGCGGAAGTCGCCCGCTGTTGACAGTGTCCAAACCTCCCATGCGTCAGAATCTTCAAACGAGTTATCCATCGGGTCTATCTTGGTCGACGCTCCATCCCCGAGTCTTGACAGGTTCACGTGACCCTGGCGTTGAGCACGCTGCTTCAATGCAGACGTAAGTGCCACTGCATCAACACCTGGGTAGTTCTCTTCTGCGCCTGAATGAGTCGACGATGGCGTAGCCAATTGTGCGCGTCTTCTGATTCCAATCACACTCTGCGCTTCGGTCGACTCCCACACCCCAGCGGGTTCGACAGAGTAGACCGCTTCCTTTGCGCGCTCAAGACCACGACACTTGTGCTTTTCCCGGTCTAGCGGCTTTCCAAGGCACATCTGTGAAGTCGTCTTATCGTCCAGACTGAAGGTCTGCATCACCATGTGGTTTGCACTGTGCTCTGCATATGCCACAGAGAGTGAGTTGACCGCAGGGGCTCCACATTGACACACGCGTCGTACAGAGTGGAGCACTCTGAACGAATGTGGACGCACATGGCCAATTTGGAATGCGTGAACCAGCGCGCGGCTGGAAAAGTCAAAAATCTCCGCCTCTTCATCGCGAAGCGCAAACATGACCCCGAGGCTGGGAACAGCGTATATACACCGTATCTTTGCAGGATTGCTACCAGGGGGTGGGCCTGGATCCAGACCTGCAACCACTTCTGACGTGTAGTTGTCCTCCTGCTTGAGTGACAGTATGTGCACTTCACCAGCCTTGGTCACAAAGACCAAGCTAGTATCCCCTTTTTCCGAGGTGTAGATTGAGCTGCACACGATTGAACTGGTGGCAATACGTCTGGTGTGGTGGATGCCTGTGCGTGCTTCCAGCTTCGTCAAGTGTCCATCTGGGCTGACGATGATGAGGTATAGCCTCTCTGCATCCGTCCGCGTTTTTAGCGTAACAAAGCTGAAGCGTATTGGCGCCTGTCCCCGAATGTCGATTAGCGGGAACATAAGAAATCGCGATGCAGGGATATCCCATAGACCAATTTGTCCAGTTTGCCCGCATATCGCTAGCATGCTTCCGCCGTCGTCGATAGCGGTAGCATAGATGGGCCAGAGTCTCGGCTTCATCGACGCCGTCTGCAAGGTAGTATGCAGGTAGCCCCCGCGGCCATGTAGCCATATCGCAGTACTCCTATCCAGCGATACACTTGCAAGATGGCCTTTTGGACAACCAGCCAACTGGACAACATCCAAGTTTTGTGGCGTTGGCAATGTCTTTACTGAAAATTCTGTTTCTACATCATCATTTTCCTCTGCACCAATTGGGAGGCCTGTCCAGAGAAGGTAATTCATAAACAAGGCTACAATGGCAATGAGTGTAACAGTAATCAAAGCTGCTGGGAAAGCATGTCCATGTGCAAAGCGGCGAAGCCCCTCTACGAGGGACGAGGGTGGTTGCGGCCGGTCACGTCCTTGTGCTCCCTTGGAGACGACCAGAATGGGGTTGTATATGCGAGCTACAAATGTTTGGGCTCCAGGTTTGATGAAACCAAACAATTCTCGAGCCGTATTGTGGTCTTGGAGCCGAAGCCAATCAGCGGGGGTCCTAGCTTGGTTGATTGGCGGCTGACTCCAGCTTGTGTCGATGGAACGTTTCCGCCTTCTGGAAATGAAACTTTGCCGAAGCGTGTTGAAGGACAGCGGTTTGTCACCGCTATCGAAGAAATGCCAATTGACGGCAAGAATGACAGAGAAGATAGCTACAGTCCCTGCGAAGCGGGTGCTCAGAGGCAGCGTGCCCTCTCTCAGAGCACCAAGCCAGGATTGACGTTCGGCCTGTTTGTTCTTGGTGCTTTGGCTGAGATTAATGCGATCCAGAGAGTCGGAGAGTTCCATCCTCTGTACATCAACGCTGAGAACAGCAATAAAGAAGGTCAAATGAAAAACGAGGTCGAATACGAGCGTGACGGCCGCAAAAACGCAAAAGTCGGCGACCCAGGGCGTGACGAGCCGGGAGCAGAAGTACAATAGTGCGAGGTTTTGAAATGCAATGGCAACAGACAGATGACCCACCTCACCGAGTGCATTGCCGATGCGCTGGTGAGGAGGCATCTCCGGCGGTGTTTCCAGTACAACATTAATCAAACGAAATCTGGCAGTCAGTCAGTAATTGCTATTGCACCCCCGCCACTCTTGAACATACATATTTCCAAGACCGAAACAAAAAACTACTACGGGAAACCATGGCCGGGGTATCCGCGCCAAATCGATTCCAAGATATGTACAAAGGGTAAAACTAGCGATTACACACACGCCCATCTAGTTAGGGGGTTAGCAGAGAAAAACAGTAGTGCGGAAACCGCCTACCTTCATACAGATGGTGATGAGCAAGCCAAACCAGCTTTTGACTGCTCGCAACTGCCTCATTCTCGTTATCACGTAGACTGCGGTAATAAGATAGGAAGCCGCCAAAAATAGGTCGTCATTCAGAGTCATGGGCCTGAATCTAAACTCGAATAGTCGGCTGCGGGTAACCTGGCCATCGTTGGGGAATACGGCCCAATCTGGGGATATTTCCTCAGCCAGAGTGCGTGCTCTCGCATCCCATGTAGCCCCTAATCTTGAATTGTTCTGATCGAAAAGTGTAATGACCAATGCATCGGCAGCACGAAGTTTGGTGTTGGAGAAGGATTTTCCGGCAAAAACCGTGCTGGGTCGCAGCGTGATGTTACGGGGCGTGCGCATGCGTGTATGTGCGTTGATGGTGCCGAGTAAGTCGCCATCCTCATCTAGGGCGCTTCGAGAACAGTTCCAGTACATCAAGGGCGAATGCCACGTCCATTTTTCCTCGGGTCCGGCAGTCATGCAGCCTGCAGTGGTGCTGGCGAGGGTGTTTCGGAGGGCATTTGCATCGTCGTCGGCATCTTTGTTGAAGCCGCCGCTGATAAGGGCTTCCTGAACATACAGAGCCTGGTGCAGCACAGGCAATTCGATGGCCTTCATATAGTCGCCATGGACCCAGACCTGGCGCACAATCACATCGGGGATGCGCTCTCCCTCGACCTGGGTGGTGGAAGTCCAGACATGCTTGGGCAGATTGCGGAGACCGGCAGCGGCGGAACTGTCCGCCTGGAAGACAGCCTGGTAGCAGAGGAGGACGGAGATGATAATGGTCACGAAGATGGAGAGGAGCCAATGGCGGGCAGTGGCGGTGCCATGGGCCTGGAATGCGCGGCGGATGGGGTGCGATGTGGATAGGCGTGGTGGCTCAGTCGTACTGCGAGACGGGCATTTAGCATGGCATGGCCTCGGACGCGTGTGTACTAGATGGATGGGCTGGACGGGGGATGCAGGTTACTACTCACCCACGCAGCGGATAGAGGAGATACCAGATCATTCGGGTTCGCGGGGCCTCGCAAAGGGCATGCCCGGGCTGGAAGTCGACGACGGCGAGGCCTCACTCAGCTGTGGAAGGGTGCGACGTGCGAGCGCCCCGTTCATCGGTCGGGGATGGGGCGCGGCACGAGGGAGCAAGACCAGGACCAGGAAGGATTGCGAGGCAGCGAGCAGAGGGCGTGGACATGCACAGCAGCAGACAGAGGGCGATGGCGCGGCTTCAGTCGTTCTCTTCGTGGGGACATTGAGGGGTGGTCGCGACCAGCATTATTGACTATCCGTGGCGCTCGCGCGGTTCCGGCAACCTTCTGCTCGTTGCCAAGCGCTGGCCATGTCTCATCGCCTCGATCGCTGCTTGGTGTTACAACGACAAGCGCCATCGCCAATGGGGCCCCTTGCCCTTTTGCGCCTTTGCCCCAGCTCTGCACACATGCGCTGCCCTTTTACCCTAACCAGCGAATCCAGAGCTCCTCTGGCCCACGTCCGGCCCATGCCGCCCACACCCACGCCCGCTGGTCGGGGCGCGTCGAGCCCCAAGAAGAAGCAATGCAGTCTGCTTTCGTCTATCTGTGAATTTCATCCTGTCGTCGCTACACTGACAGCTACCCTGGTCGTCTGCCGCTTCCTGCCTGCAGGGACCAAGGCACACCAAGGCCCTGGATGCTGACGCCCAAGCTTGGTCTACATACGTACTGGTACATGATCATACTTTTCACCCTCCTTGCTCCCTTACTGCGGGTGGGGTATGTCCAAAGAGAAAAAAAGCGCTTAGAACACATGCCCGCCGTGTCAGCTTATCCTCGGCCTAACTTAAAAATACTCCGTCCCGGGAACGGAACGCCTCCGCCGTGGTGTCCATCGTGTGGCGAACTGCGATGAACGGTCGCGTCCAGCCCTCATCATAACCATAACCACTGTCCATAGCCATTGTCCATAGCCACTGGCTCTTGTGCATCGCATCTTCTCATGGTCTACCAAAACTTCATGTCTCGTCCATGTCCTCGTCCTCGTTACCGTCGTCCTCTTCCCATTCATCCTCTTCCTCCTCAGCGCCGGTAGAAGGACCGAGTACATCGTTCAGTTCTCTCAAGAGCTCATCGGCATGTTCCTTCAATCGCTCATCCTCATACTCTAGCATAGCGTAAAGTTTGAGACAATTCTCCAGCCAGTCGCGACTAGCACGCAACAGTGATGTCGTGACCTTTTCCTCTCCCTTGGCTTTTTGCTTTCCCGCCAGCAAATGCAAGCACCAGCCGCCCAGATACCACGCCTCAACACTGCCGTCATTTTCTCCCACTAACCGCTCCAGAACCTCAATCGCCTCGTCTTCCATTTCTGCCTCCATCAACAAACGAGACAGACTAATGCGAAGAGAATAGTCGGGAACCTTGGCGTCGTCCGGGTCCAGGTCCTTCCACAGCTCCATGCTTCGTCTTAGTGCGGATCTTGCCTCGTCGGGCTTCAATTGCGAAATTCGGATGGACGCCAGTGTCTGCAGAGGCTCCGGATTCTCTGGCGCAAAAAGAAGTGCTTCGGTGACTGCGGCGTCGCATCTTGCTTCTGCGTCTTCCTCCCACGACAAATCCGTCATGTAGACTTCAGCAATACCACACAGCGAGTTTGCAATCTTCTGTCTCTTCTCCTCCACCAACTCTGCCACCTCGTTGTTCTTCGCCATCTTGCCTTCCAGCCCACCAATTTCCCTCTTGAGCACTTCAATGCCCTTCTCAAACCACCGTACACTCTCTGCCCCACCCTCTTCGTTTAATTGTGCCATCCATAGAAATTTCTCTGCTCCATCGTGTGCGCCTTCGGGATCGATGATAATGGCGGCTTGGAATGCTTCACGCGCAGAATCTGGGTCGCCCAACTCTACGTTGATTTCGCCGAGGAGGTTCAATGCGGGCAGCGCGGCGGCCGAAGGCTTCGAGTTGCCAGGCTGAACCAAGTTCAGTGCTTTTTGTGCGGCGATGAGCGCTTCCTCTGGCTGTGATGTTTGGAGAAAAGTAGCCGCCTGGATTAAGAGATCTTCAGCCGAAACTTTTGGTTTCGATGCGCCAGATTTCACGCTAGACTTTGCGCTCTTCTTTCCCTTGCGGTCCGCTGGCTTCGTCTTCGCCATTTTTACAAGACCTTTGTTTCGGTGTCGAGGTGTGTGAAATTGTTGCAAGTCGGCAGTCCGACCCAAAAATTATTTCTCGAACATCGGGCAGTCGGGGCTAGTGACGTGGGGGAAAAGAGCGGGCATGCCGCCCCACCAAGCCGCAAGCCTCAGCGTCAACTTGCAAGTGTCGCCCGGCGTTGGCACTCTCGCAGTCTACACACATACTTAATTCGTCATGGGTGTCGAAGAGCAAAAAGAGGAACGCGAAGTCCTCGAGTCAATCTTCGCAGACGAAATCACAGGTACGCAACGATTGGTTGCGCAAAAAAAAACATCACTGTACACCAAGTAAATATACTAACAACACCCTCCAGACGTTTCCGAGACAGAGTTCCGAGTCGCCGTCCAACTCGACGATGGCCGACACGAAGACGAAGAGCGCGAAGATGACCAACGTATGCGCAAGCACTCACATACCTGAACACCACATATAGGCTTACCAAAAGGAACCTTGCAGCAACCATCATCCTCAATGTCTCCTACCCACTCAACTACCCCGACGAAGCCCCCCGCCTCGACATAACGCAACCCCCCAACGCCCCCAAGCACCCCTACCTCGACATCCAAGAAGACAAGCAGCGCCTCCTCGACTCGCTCTCGGCAACCATTGAGGAAAACCTCGGCATGGCCATGGTCTTCACGCTCGTCACCGTCCTCAAGGACAGCGCCGAACTCCTCATTACGGAGCGCCAGAATGCCAAGCAGGCGCTGGCGGATATGGCGGCGGCCAAGGCGGAGGAGGAGGAGAACAAAAAGTTTCAGGGTGAGGCGGTTACGCGGGAGAGCTTTTTGGCGTGGAGGGAGAAGTTTCGGGCGGAGATGGCAGAGGAGAAGAGGCGGAAGGAGGAGGAGAAGGAACTTGAGGATAAGAAGAAGAGGATTGCTAAGGAGGAGAAGAAGTTGACGGGCAAAGAGTTGTGGCAGCAGGGTTTGGTTGGGAAGGGTGACGATGATGATGACGACAATATTGATGAGGTTGATGTCGGGAAACTCAAGATTGAGGCGACATCATGATGTGCATTGCGTAAATTTGCGCCGTAAAAAACCGCATGCACATAGTTGCATAGCCAAACTATACTATCAAAGTTTTGGCTTGATCACCTGTATCGGGCGCCTTCTTCTTCCCCTCACAATCGTCTCTCCCTCCTCCAGTGCCATCTTCATCTCCAAGTCCACAATATTCTGCATCTTCTTTGTGATCTCCCTATCCTTGCGCATGTCTCTTGCATGCGCTTCCTGATTTACCCGCTCCGATTGTCTAATCGCATCCGCCCACTTGACGTCGTCCTCGCGCGTCTCCAATTGCGCACTGATCAGCGCATCCCACTCATCTTCCTGCTGGCACATGGGTAACCACCAATTGCTCAGTAGCACCTTTGTGTCGAAAAGCTGAATCTTGCGCTGTAGTCGTTGACGGAGAACACGGCTCAGAGCTGGAGGCTGAGGTTTTGTGAGGCGGAGGAAGGGGATTCCGTTCGCGGAGGACATTATAGGAACATGGCGGGGGCCGGAGGTCTTTGCGTATGGGCGGACATTCAAGACAGCCTTCTCTGGAGGAAGACACGCGAGTCGTTCTTTGGGTTCCTTGGAAGATGCATCTTCGGTCCTTCTCATTGGAGGAGCGCGTATCAGAGCGCGTGGTAGCTGGGCCACCATTTGCGTCAATATGCTCGTGCTGGCTGCATCGCCCGCCGTCGAGGCATCAAGATGGTCCAACGTCTACATCTTGTCAATTGCGGACAGACGCATGTCTAAAAAGAAAAGTTCACCTCATAGCCAGCCTTGAAACTCAGCCCCAGTTGGTACGGGCTTTGTATCTTCCGGTTCCGTCGAAACTTGTTGCGCACAGCGTTGCGGAGGGAGACGCGATCGTCATCAGGGATGGGAGTAGACGAACATCGTAAAAGCAGGGCCCGGTAAAGAGCAATTGCTGATCAAAATGTCAGAATCTATGCACATATTATTCCTTCAATGGTCTCACCTGCTATACGATGTTGTGTTGACTTTTTAGGCTCGAGGAAGCGGGGCATGCATGGGGATTGCTCGCGGTGGAGGTTTCCAGGTCGGAGTTGCGACGCGAGATATTTCGACTAGTATGACACATGGTCACGTGCCGGATTTGCAGTGCTCTACAGTACACAATACTCGAGTAGAGTCCGTGACTCAACACTACTTCCTGTGTAACATTACATTATTTAGTTGCTTGTCAATTTCAGCGCTAGGGCGACTTGAGATACAAATCACGTGCATGTCTTTTCAGCTTGTTATGGCAATGTATAGTCATACAAGTACGCCACAGGTCTTAACATAAGTGGGCAAACATAGAGCAAGGGAAGCCATGTATCAAGAAAATATGTATATCATTCATAGTCGTGGTCAATTGCCTAGACTATGAGTTCATCTGGCAGACCAAAACTCCGTCCCATGCACCTTCACCTTGTCTCGTCGTACATTCAGATTTAGCATACAGTCACACGTCTGTTTGAACTGCTTTCTCAGGACAGTTGGTGTTCGTGAACACAGCTAGAAAGTTGTTCCCTCGGGAGGCTGTGGGAGTTTCTTGTTCTGGGGAAGCGCCATGTATCTGATGCATTATATGGTCAATGGTGGACTTGTCTGATAGTGACTGTGCTTACCTTCGAAGCTCGATGAGGATAGTCTCCATGGTAAACTCACGTTTCCACTGGGCTAGGCAAGGCAGCTTTGTGGGATCGACCTAGCCTTGTCAGTACGCGTTCTTCCTTACTCAGCTTGCAGGGTCCTACCTTTCCGTTCTGAGGGTTGACGCAGGGCAGGTTGATCTTGGACGTGAACTTGATGTCCGGGGGTGCGTCGGGGTACTCTGGGCCGCAGTGGATCGACACGCTGTAGATGCGGTTCTCGTGGACGCTCTGGGAATCTTTGTCAACGTGCGACTGGGTACATGGAGGAAAAGATGCATACATGGGGTGGACCTAGTATGGTGCCATTCCAGTCTGACATCAACAGATCATCTCCGTTATCCAGACCATATGAGCAGGCCTCTGTCTATTCTCAGCAATGCGTTCTCCACGGCCAAGTGGCAGGTCTACCGTACCAGCACCAAGCCCCTTCTCACCCTTCTCCAGCTCTTCCAGCAGACGAAAGTTGCGCGGAACCTTGGCACCCATTGTTGCAGTGCTGGTGCGAGAGTACTGATGTGAAGCGTGGCGCGTGAGGAAGTGGGATGGACGGACCCCGCTCAAGAGGTAGGGTAATGGTCGGCGGTGGCTATGGGTGAAGGTGCAGGATACGATTCGAAGTGGCCGGTGGTGACGTGCGCAAGTCTCTATCAAGCAGTGTATCGACAGGCGCAATTCTCTGCAAGGCTATCGAGTGACCAGCTGATTGCTCTGCTGCTTGTCTCAAGATGCTTGTCGGGATCGACTAGTGCCGACGATATGACGAGGTTGCGGCCGACCAGGGTCCCACCTAGCACATGCATTGGTCCATCGCTTGGCCACGTCCGCTACGCGACATCTATACGTTGCCTTTCATAGTCGGCCAAACTACATCAACAATCGTATCCTGCATTTCAAAGTCGCTCCTTTGCTAGCACAGTTCGCCCAGATGCTTCGGGTCATTCGCATAGCATGACGGCTCAAATTTTGGCAGCTGAACTCGGGAACCTCATCCAGGACTCGAAGCGCAAGAATACCGAACTCCGAAATGCTGCAGAGGCAGCCCTCAAGGATCTCAAGTCACTCTCTAATACCTCCGAGGCTCAGCTCTCAGCTGGTGAGTTAGTTTGTTGCCCGTCGTTTGATTACATGTTGACCGCGTTCAAGATCTGTCCCGTCGTCCACATTTCATCTCACCTTTTTTGATTGCTTGCAGTACTCACAATGCCAAATTCGCGTCGACTGGAGTCTCGTGTCTGCAGAGACTTAGTGTTTCACGCGCTTTGCCACGGGAGCGACTGACGGAAATCCTGGATGCATTTCGCGAGTCGGTATCATCAAGTAGAGCTCGCCCACTCCCGGAATCCTATGCGCTCAGCTGATGTAACTAGGCCACGACATCCAATTGAAGATACTGCAAGCATTACCCTCTTTACTCCAAAACTACCCTGCGGAAATTCGGGGCGATTCTCTTTCATCTGTCCTTCAAATATGCTCAAGTTTGCAAAACGCAAAGAACTTTGCAGTAAGCAACACAGCTGCTGCGACATTGCAACAGCTTGTTATTGTTGTGTATGACAGAGTCGCTTCCGAAGATGGTACGGTCTAGCCATCTTTATAGCCATTTATCATGTACTGACCTCTTGTCAAGAGAAAGCACTGGAAATCCCCACCGTGACCGAGGTAAAAGGTGACGATAGCCACGTATCAGTCAGACCAGCAGCGAACGATGCTTACAAGGTTTGCATGGCCTCCACGTTGGTCTGATCTTGCTAAACATGGGTAGATGTTTACCGATCTCATTTCGCTGATCGTAGGAGAAAAGCCCGTGTATATGCGATTCGCTTCGCTGCCACCATCTTCAATACTTGAGCTCATCGAGGCAGTACTGTCAAATCACAACGAAATCATGACGACACATCCAGAGCAAATACACATCTTGCGGGCCCAACTCATGCCCCTCATCATTCGCTCTTTGTCTGACCGACTATCATTTCCAGTGACTGTGCGCATCATTCGGATACTACATCTGATTATTCGATATCATCTTGACATACTTCCCTCGGAATGCGAGATTGCACTCGGTCTTTTGAATCATATGCTTGATCCAGAGGCTTCTCAGGCATGGAAGAGAGCGCTCTGCTTAGAGGTATTTCGCAGTATCTACGCCGATTCTAAGCTTCTTTTGGCCATCTATGCGCTATTTGACGCGAAAAGCGAGAAGAAGAATGTTTTTGGTGATAATTTGGCGGCTTTCGTACGGCTTGCCGCCGAAAAGCCTGCACTCATTGGCCTTGGTCAGCAATCAACAGCCGTCGTTGGGGCCGAAGACGGAAAATTAGCGCTGTCAGACCATGCTGTCGCTGAAGCAGGTGCTCTGGCCGGCGTCATAGGCGGCCCTGTGAGTGACAGTAGCAGCGGTGCTCGTCCTTTTGGAATCAGCACACAATGGAGCGCTCTCAAAACTCCTTGTATAGAACACCTTGACAAATCCGACCCGCCTGTCCTACCAGACACGTATATCTATAGTTTGGTGTTGACATGCATCACCAACATTTCCGAGAGTCTGGCCAAGTTTGTCCTTCCTCTGACCGTACACCACGAAGGCCGAGCCCGGAGAAAGAACAAAGCTGATGACGCGAACGAGCCTGATACAGAAGCTGTATTGCCAAATGAAGGTTCCAATCGGCTTTCGCGAACCCAATCTTTCCGCAAAAAAACTATACCTGTAAATCCTCTTGACCTCACAGAACACTCCGCCTACACCTCTGTGCAGACTTCGACGAGCTTGGTTACGGAATGCTGGCCCGCAGTGCTTGCGACCTGCTCGACTTTTCTTAATGCCGCGCTTGACAACGACTATTACCGTGCCCTGGTTCGGTCTATACAAAAGATCACTCAGGTCGCTGGCCTTCTTAGGCTTTCGACACCACGGGATGCATTTTTAACAACATTGGGCAAAGCAGCAGTGCCATCAAACCTGTTGCTAGCAAATGTACCGCCCACAACTTCAGCTTCAGTTGACAAGCCTGGGGTTTTCTCTAATGCCAAAGCCATACTTAGCGTAGACAGCTTTATGAGTCAAAGCTCTTCAATGTCAGCAGACAAACATAGAGGTCCCCAAAATGAGTCAGCAATACCTGCTTTAACTCCTCGCAATCTGCTGTGTCTGAGGGCTTTGCTCAATCTGGCAATCGCGCTGGGACCGACCCTCAATTCCGCCTGGTCGATCGTTTTTGAGACGCTACAAGTAGCCGACTTGGTCATGGCGTTTACAAGTCAAACAGGCAGTCGCGGGTCTGGACCTGGGCACGGAGATGGGAGTACCGAGAAGCTGGAGGCAGAAACCTCAGCTGTACAGGCAGCAGCTCGCAGACTGTTTGAGAGCACTGTTGATTTCCCCAATGAGTCATTTTCAGAAGTGCTGCAAGCCTTGTGTTCCCTTCTGAACGGTGTGACCCCAGAGAGTGGTCAAAGGACACCCGCATCCTCTAATCGTCCTCAGATTATGCATCAGCGGCGCCTTGGTAGCGTTTCCGGAATCTCTCTAAATACCGAAACAAACCCCCGCGACTCAGCATTTGCTTTGAACAAGATTGGAGAGCTCGCAACCTTGAATGAGAGCAGGTTGGCCCAGTACGATCCTGCAGAAAGCGGATGGAACATCCTTGTCAAGGAAGTTGTACAGTTTTCTACGGATAGCCGGAAAGCGACAACTACAAGGCTGCTTGCCGCTGACATTCTAGCAAGGACTGTTCGAGATATTGCTGAGCTATCCATGTCCGATGAACAACGTGAGGAAATTCAGGCTCGCATACTTACTGCACTACAGAAACAGATTGCAGACCTCTACCACTACGATGGAGCCAACAAAGAGACCATTAGTGATGCCGACATGCGGGTTCACCAAGTTGCTCTCGAAGCACTCAAAAGTGTGATTGAGCAATGCGGCGAGTCACTAGTTGCTGGATGGGCGTCCGTCATCGAGAGCTTGATGAGTGTATTTGTACCGGACCAGTCCTCTTTTCAAGAACAAAAGCACGAAAACGAGAGGCCTCAAGTCGATAAGCGGTTGGAGAACGCTCCAGAAGTTATTTCGAGATCTCTTGCCCGATCTGCCTTTGCAACGGTCAGCCTTATATGTTCGGATTTTATGACTGCCGTTCCAGATGTTTGTCTATCCACACTATTAGAGCTTCTGCGCAGGCTGTGTTCCCAGCAAGAAGACTTGAACATGTCTCTAACTGTGGGTTAACTACACGTGCATTTGCTCCACTTCTAACATTATGCAGGCTATCACCTTCTTTTGGAATGTGTCAGACTACTTGCAATCGAAGGCTGACCTGTCTTCACTGCCAGAGATCGTTGGGGAGACTGATGACACCAAACTCGCCGTTTCCAGTCACTCACAGAATGGAGCAACTTCGGCCCTGTGGCTCCAGGTTCTATTGAACCTTTCTTCAATCACCGTCGACGAACGTGTTGAGGTACGGAATTCTGCAATTCAAACGATCCAGAGGATATTTGAGAACTGCTCCGACCAATTATCATCGAATGTATGGCTACTCTGTCTCCGTACAATACTGTTTGGTATGGTAAAGGCGAATCTGGAGGTACAGCGCGAGATCCGGAATCAGTCACCACAGAATGATTTGCTAAAAGACTGGGGGCAAACAACAAAAGCCGTGCTTCAGACTGTAAGCATTCTAAACACCACTTATATGGATAAACTGGATGCATCTCAGCTTGGGGACGCATGGTCCGAGCTACTCAGTCTCTTACAGCAGTACTTTGAGTACCGTTCACATGCTCTAGGAGCATCGGTCTTCGACACCATTACAGGTGTTCTTTCCCAGTCTGAAAATAATCATATATGGGGTATAGACCCCTTGCTCAAAACGGCTGGGGTGTGGAGGAGCTATTTCCCTTCTCAAGACACGTGGCAACAAGGCGGCGAGGAAGACAACCAAGAAGCATTTGTGGCCTACGCAGATGCTTTCAAAGCCATCTACCGTCTTGCGGATGGACCACTTGCTGCAGAATTGCCTTCTATGCTTGGCAATCTTGAGGCCTGTGTTGTCAATTCCGACGAAGTCGCCTACTCTTCTGATGTGGATAGCACGACTGTGCTCCAGAGCCGGGTTCTGGAGTGTTTATCGATAGTCAAGACTGACGGTCCCGAGATTTCGTCGTATCTGATTGAGTTGTTGGGCCGGTTCATAACACTGCCTTACACTTCACAAGACAAGTCTCCTGGAAGACGCGGGCCGACATTTGTTGCGCTATCAAAAGCATCCATGACGCTGTTGCAAGACACGATTATCAAGCACATCGATCAGGAAGAGATGTATAAGAATGATGCTTTTGCTCGTGCTTTAAGTAGTTTGGCGCGACCTGTACAAGAAAAGTATGTGTGGGAACGCGAAGGCAAAGCACCAACCTTATGGCAAAAGGCTACATCGACAAGCATAGCTATCATCAAGCCGGCATTGTCGCATCTTGGCTCGGACCAAGAGATCTGGGCCAATCTGGTAGATATAGCTCACTACATCACTCGAGCGCAGCTATCATCAGATGCTCCCATATCACTCGAGAAAGATGAGGTGCTTGACATTGCGTCTTTCAAACAGCTCCGCGAGATTATTGTCCTTCCTCTTGGTTCTGCGTCGCTTCCGGACAGCCTTAGGCGGTCTTATGCCCGCAATCTCTTTGCAACATCACTGATACATAGCCCGTTATCTGGAGAACTACCGGACATGATGGGAGCGCCAATCGAAGAGCTCTACAAGGTTCGTCTAGGACAAACAGCCGAGCTTGAATGTACATGGCGACCGAACATGGGCTATTCGTGTCTCTCTGAGTTATTCAGTCTCGTTGCTGTGCACGATAGTAGTCCCGAACGAGTCAAGTTGGCGCAAGCAGCAGCCCCATATCTCATTCTACGGTGTGCACTCCCGCTCAAGACGTACATAGCCGATCACCCTTTGCGGGGTCGTATGCCTGCGCCCGAGTCGCAGAGACGCGAGTTGCTCTTCGTACTTGAGGAGTTGCACAAGCTGCAATGCGAGCCGCAAGCCATGCCCGATGCGCCAGGAGTGAAGTCGAAACACCGCAAGCATATACACAGGTTGTATCCGCTATTAATCAAGGCAACCAAGGTCGCCAGACATGATGGTGAAGTTTTCGACATGTTGTCGAAGCTGACGGATGCTGTTGGGCGAGAGTTTGGGTTAGATGATGATTGAAGCAGACACAGAGGTTAGATAGAAGCATTCGGAATGTATTATTGTATAGAGGACATTGTTCAAAAATGTAGTAATTGAATGGTGAAACGAAAGTCGAATGCATGACATTCCAGCCGGAGCAGTCAGCCGGAGCTCTGTCCGCACAAGGGCGGACCGGAGACACACCGACCGCGACTCCAGACCTCTTGCCTCACTTGTGCCCACTTGTTGTGGCGGAACTGGCGCGCGCGCGGAATTAACCATGACCTCCACGACACCTGTCGACAAGTCCAACCCGAGCGACGCCATCAGCCCGTTGCAAGACGCCAACAACAATGTGAAGCGGAAGAGCGAAGATGCGCCAGCCCAGCCCAGGGCGAAGCGCAATCGCTACATCTCCATTGCCTGCAATGAGTGCAAACGCCGGAAGATCAAGTGCAACGGCCAAACGCCCTGCCAGCGCTGCGGGAACCTCAACCTCGACTGCCAGTACTCGCCCAACTGCTGCAACAACTTCAAAGAGAGCGAAGAGTAAGTAAATCGCCTTATCGCAACCGAAAACACGACGCGACTAACATATCCGAGGTTCAAGCAGATGTCAGCGCATATCAACTCGCTCCAGCAACAAGTAGACGATCTGTTCCACAATATCAGCGCCCTCCGAGGCCAAGTCGAAATCCACAGCAATGGCTCCATGGGCACCCCCTTCACCCAGGACTACCAGCAGACGCCTATGCTGCCTCCTCATCCTCCGCGATCGCAGTCCAAATCGTCGAACAAACACCGTCGCTTTCATGGGCCAACGTCAAACGCATTCAACGTCAGCGTTGCAAGATCAAGTCTCAAAACCATGGGCATCAACCCAGGCGAAGAGGAAGACGACGAGGATCTCTTGACGCGCGAAGAGACACCAGGAGAATCGCCTCCTGCAGCCAACGCTATGCAGCCTAAACGATCATTTCACGCCGACAAAGACCCGATATGGGCCCTCTCAAAGAGCGACGCTCTACGCCTGGTCCATGTCTGGCGTGACGAAGTAGCCGCCATGTACCCAATTCTGGATATGGATAAGTTGATGCGCTATACTGAAATGCTATTCACTTTTATAGAGGCCGCCACTAGATCGGGTTTCATGCAACGTGCTCTTCCTGGCTCAGACGCAATGATGGATGAGCAGATCAGTACACTCAAGTTAGTCCTTGCAACGACCCTCGTAATCGAAGGTAGGGGGAAGGATCCATTGGCGGAGAAGCTCTTCACAAACGTACATAATATGGTTGAAAAATCTCTGTCTGAGCCTGCTAGTCTGCATAACATTAACCTACTAGTCCTTGTTGTAAGTCAAAGTTCTCGTACAGTCTTCAGTCATGCTCACAAATGTAGGCCATGTATCACTTTCACCACGACGAAGAAGGGCTGGCCTGGCGAATATGTGGGTTGGCTTCACGGCAATGTCTTGAATTGGGCTTGCATCGCCGGGACACGTATGCGACCTTATATCCCAATCCTGAGGATCAAGCATCGGCAATCCGCATGTTTTGGACCATCTACGTTCTCGATCGTCGCTGGAGCTTTGGGACCGGAATGCCATTCGCCTTGCAAGATGCGGACATTGACAATGTTCCCAAGCCTGTAAGTCATGCTCAGCTGTCTGTATGTATTTCAGAATCTGACCCAACCAGGAGCCATCGTCTCACGAGTCTGGTCAATATCTCCACGCAATGATCTCGTACTCAATAATTAGTTCGAAAGTGTGGAAGTCGATCACTGATGTGGGCCAGCAGGACAAGATTAACAAGGAAGATATATCTTTCCTTGATTTTCAAGTCCTGAATTGGCATCGCAGCATTCCGGATTCCTTGAGGTTTGTGCATCCGGACAGTGGCAGACAAGTGGAGACACCAACGCGTCTAATCCAGCGACTCCAAGTGGTACTGTACCTTCGGGCAAACCAGATGCGAATTCTCATATACAGACCAGTCTTGCACACAGCAACCACCATCATGGAGAATTTGGAATTCGCACATATTGTTGTTAAAGTGGCCAAGGACACGATCCGGATACTGACATACCTCAACCAGACATCTGATATTTACAAAAGTCAACAGATAACGTTTAACTACTTCCTCGTGTCAGCACTTGCAGTCCTCTTTCTTGCAGTGGCTCACGCGCCGGTCGAATTTAACCAAGAATGCCGAGACGAGTTTTACATGGCCATCGACCTTGTGCGAGGTCTCTCGTCAAACTCGTACATCTCGAGGCGGTTATGGAAGACGATCAAGACGATCAAGGAAGTTGGGCCGCGTCTCGGGCTTGCCGTACGCAACGAGGAAATTCAAGACGCACACTCATCTGCTGCAGTGGCCATGGCAGGTTTAGCAGGCCACTCGATGGATGAACTAGCACTGTTCTCCAACGGCCGTAACGGCACCATGCTGGATACGCCGCACGGAATGGCGAGTGACCTCACGACTCTATTTGAGGCGGCTGGCGGGATTTTCAATCTACAGGGATTTGGGGGTTCGTCGAATGACATTGCAAACGGCAATGGAGAGTTTGTGAATGGGTTTGGGCAAGAGAACGACGAGTTGGCGCGTATCATGAGGGATTTGTTCTGAGGACTCAGCCTAGCTCATTTTTAGAAATTCTTACAATAATATGACTTTCATCTTCTTCCAATCGCTCAAGAAAGTGACTACGTGACAGGCGGTGAAACAAGGGCGGAGGGCTTGTGGGAGATCACGTGGTCTATCGCTAAGCTCGGGCGGCCAGGGCAGCCATCAATCTCGACCTGCCAAACCACGGCTTCACTCATGCACCTGGGGTGTCCAAGGGATCGACTGCACCGATAAGTCGCACACCGCAAGCAGCGCCTGGGGAACTAGACCGCTCCTTGCGTAGAGTCTCGCGCTCATTCGACCCCTCCCCCACTCAGCTTCAACTGTATCACAACCTCCCCCGACGCCCTCCTTGTCGAACTCCCCAACACGAACACGCATGCGATAACCAAGACTGCAAGCGCAGATTCCGACGCCATACACATCCCTTGCCTTATACCAGCGTTTTGACGCCGACACACTCTTGGTTCTTGTACCTACAACAGGCCCTTACCCCCACATTCGCATTTTCGAGCCCCTCGTCCCGTCATACGCACCCGCTTGTTGCGACTGCGCGTAGCAGCACCAACCAAGCCTAGATAGAGGTACTGGCTTATACACACGACCACCACCATGTCGTCTTCTTCGCAGGTCACCGAGTCGTGGATCGCGTCCTTTTGCGGACTGCTGGGTCACGAATACTTTGCAGAGGTCTCGGAAGACTTCATCGAGGATGACTTTAATCTGACAGGCCTCCAATCGCAAGTGCCCATGTACAAGGAGGCACTGGAGATGATCCTGGATGTCGAGCCTGAGGACGACGAGGATGAGGACGAAGAGGAAGAGGACGAGGACGAGGAAGACGAGGTACTGGGCGATGAGAGGCCTCCAGGTTACCGGCGCGCAGGCGACCGAAGGCATCTCCGAATAGCGTCTGACCTCAGCGTCATAGAAAGCTCTGCGGAGCTACTCTACGGACTCATACATCAACGCTACATCACGTCACGACCGGGCATACAACAGATGGCCGAGAAGTACGAGCTTCAGCACTTTGGCACATGCCCACGCGTAAACTGCAACTCCTGCAAGGTACTGCCCGTCGGCCTCAATGACAGCCCTGGCCACGAGACGGTCAAGCTGTACTGCCCCTCCTGCTTGGACGTATACACCCCACCCAACTCGCGCTTCCAGACTGTCGATGGTGCCTTCTTCGGCACCACCTTTCCCTCACTCTTCTTTATGACTTTTACCGACCTCGATATCGGAGGCGGGCTTCGCAACAATACGTCCAATACTATTGACGCCCTACAGCAATTACAATCACAAAGCGCAGATGGCAAGTCACGAAACACGACGCCTTCCAACGTTACTTCGATAAACGGCGTCGCACCGCACAACCTCGCACCCGGCCTTGGCACGGGCAGCATATACGAGCCACGAATCTACGGCTTCCGAGTCAGTGAGCGCGCACGCTCAGGACCTAGGATGAAGTGGTTACGGATGCGACCTGCAGATGTGACAGAGCTCGATGAGACGAGAAGGTACTGGGAGGAGCATGACGAAGATGCTGACAGGCCGGACGACGACGATCTCAACATGGTTGACGTAGCAGAGGGAGGCAAGGGCACACCAGCAGACCGAAGAAAGAAGGCTATTCGAACACGAAGACGGCCGACGAATGGCTCAAATGCTGCAGCAGGAGGCAGTCCCATGGATACAAATGGTGTTGCAGCGGCAGCGGGTTAGATGCTTCTTTTCTGTCAGGCGAGAAGCGCTTTTTTTGTGTGCACCGCCCAAACTTTTTGGTCTTCTATGAGGTGGGCAAAACTCTGAATGGGGAGGGTCACTATGGTTGTGTGTCTAATTAAAACAAGCGACAACCCTGCTTGAACAGATAGGGGCAGAAAAAGACTCCCCTCAAGGCCCTTTTCGATTGTGCTGTGGGTGTGGATGGGATGGGATGCGATAATCATGTCGGTTATGGAGTTGGGGCTTAGCCCAGGTTTAAAGGGAAATCCTTATTTTATTTTGTTTCTTCTTTTCGCTTCCCTCTCCTTTTTATTTTTATCTTTTTGCGGTTATGATGATATGAGATGGGTGGGGTTTGGGGTATGCATGTGTGCGCGTAAACGAAGAACAGTTTTTTTGCGTCACTGGTGCTTTTGTTTCTTGATGACTGGATTATGGGGATCGAAAGCATGAGGGTGGGGAGGGCGAAAAATAAGACGAAAGATAGACAATGAATCACTGGCATTATTATTATTATTCCGTGCTTGAAGAAAGTGTTGTGGCACGTAAGATGAGGTGCCATCTTGATGAACCTCTCAGGTTAGTCTTGGGTAACTACTAGACATTTAGAAGGGTAAAAAGCATGCCAAATTGATCAGCACAACGTATGTAGACACACACACACACACGTTCTTCAACAAAATATGAAGTTGAGCATCATCTTATTTGCCAAGTCCCTTCTAGCTAAACACACCTACATTCGAGTCTTTATCACGCGAGATCTCCCTTGCATAAGAAGCAGGAAGCCAAAAACCAAAAAAAACAAAGACATTACATGCGTATTCAACTTTGCTACATACTAAGCATATCGCATATCAAAAGATACACACAACGGGGACGTATACCATTTACGTAGAAAAAGAAGAAGAAGAGAGAGAAAAACAATAAGAAGTGGTATATAACAAGCCATAAAATTTCTACACGAAACCCCCCCCCCCCCAATCAGGCATAGAAAGGATCAAATCGAGACAAGAGACAGAGGAAGAGGAAAAAAAAAAGGGGGGGGGGGGGAACTCAATGCCCATGCGCCCACTCTGCAAGTTGCTGATTTGACGAATCAACCGAACCCTGATTCTTCTCGTGGTGATGACTAGACATGGGCATTCCGGCGCCCCGGCCCTCAAGACCCTGCATTGAGACGCCTTCGTCCATGATATCGTCCTCGCGATCATCATCGTCATCGTCTGGGACTTTGATTTCGCGGGTGAGCTCGACGTAGTCGTACTATGTGGGGTATGTTGTTAGCAAAAAATCACTTTGACATAACCTTGGGGAAGAAGGGGGGGGAGTGAAAAGCCAAAGGGAAAAGGGGAACGTACAGCAAACTCTCCGATTTCAACGTCGTCAATACCAGCGGCTTCTTCTTCTTCTGTTGCGCGGAGGCGCAGGGCGGGGATGTAGCGGCCGAGGAAATCCAGGATGCCGAGGATGAGGCAGGTGCCGATGAAGGAGTAGGCGCCGCCGGCGAAGGAGTCTGCGAGTTGGTAGCCGAGTTGGATCCAGTGCCGGTTTAGCCAGCCGCCTTTGATGACGGTGTAGCCGTCGAGGTGGGCAATGTAGTCGCTGATTAAGATTGTTAGCGTTAAAGAAAATGAGAGATGAAGAAGGAGGAGGAGGAGGAGAGAAGACGAAGGACTTACGTAGCGAAAAAGGCAGTCAGGATGTTTCCAATGAAGCCACCGACGCCGTGGACGGCAAAAATATCCAGAGCATCGTCACAGCGCAAGAAGTACTTGAGCTTGGTGGCGTAGTTGCAAGCGATACCGCCGCAGACACCAAAGACAACAGCGGCCCAGGCAGGCACGTATCCAGAACCAGGGGTAATGCAGACGAGTCCTGCAATGACGCCAGAGCAGAAGCCAACAGTGGACCACTTGCGCTCGAGACGGTAGTCAACCAAACACCAAGTAATGCCGCCAACACATGCCGCCAAATTCGTGCACACAGCAGCCATAATAGCCCGCAGATTAGCAGACAACGCGGACCCCGCATTGAACCCAAACCAGCCAACCCACAGGAACACCGTGCCAATCACAATATGCGTGACATTGTGCGGGCGATAGTTGAGCTCCTGGGTGCCGTGCCCGCTGCGCTTGCCAAGCATGTACGAGTAGCCTAGAGCGGCGCAGCCAGAAGCGATATGCACGGGGGTTCCGCCGGCGAAGTCGAGACCGCCGAGGTTGAAGACCCAGCCCGAGGGGTTCCAGGTCCAGCAGGCGATGGGGTCGTAGATGACGGTTGTCCAGATGAACATGTAGATGATGCAGGGGAGCATGCGGCCGCGTTCTGCGACGGCGCCTACTGCGAGGGCGACACTAAAATAACACATCCATTTAGCATTTTATTTTTCTTCTCTTCTCGTAACCTGAGGTGTTTTGGGAGGAAGAACGTACGTGATGGCAGCAAACATGCCTTGGTACACGGCAAAGAGTAAATCGGGGATACGCGGGCTACCGACTGAAGGGGCGCCGAGGACGTTCATGAGACCAAAGTTGTCGAGCGTGCCGATGTAGCGACCGGCTTTGTGCGAGAAGGCGAGCGAGTAGCCCCAGAAGAACCATTGGAAGGAGACGACGGCTGTCGCCATGATGGAGAGCCATAGCAGGGACAAGGCGGATTTTCGGCGTGCAAGGCCGGAGTAGAAGAAGCTGTTTTTGGTTGTTAGTTGTTAATTTTCTATGTTTTACTCTTGTTGCATATATCATTTGGTTGGATAATTGGCTTGGATGGGAAGGTAAAAAGAGGAAACTGGGGGAAAATACTAACCCTACGCCCGGAATCATAAGTAGCACGAGTGCGGTCGAAGTAATCATCCATGCGATATCGCCGGGCTACAATAGTTGACACTTTGAATTAGCCCCGCGTTCTTCTCCCCACAACTAGAAACTCCAAACTTTCGGGAACACCTCCACCCCCCAATTTCCGAGGTTTTTGTTTCTCTTTTATTGGGGGGATTTCCAAATAGAAGCAAACTCACATTGTAGAAGACATTGAGGTTGTACAACCGTGAGTCGCCGCCGGTAGGGATACTGGCGTTGGCGAACGTCTCGAGAGGAACCGTGGGGTCCAATCCCGACGTGACTGGCTCCATGATTTTGTCGTTTTGTAACCACAGTCAGGCGCACAACAACCACGCTCTTTCTCTCTTAGTTTTCTTAAACCGCTATTATTTGAAGATTCTTTCTTTCCCCTCCAGCTTTGAGTCCTTTTCGCGTTCCAAGGGAGGTCCGGGATTTATTCGTGAGACGGTTCTTCCAAGCAGCCAAAAGTAGCTATTTTTTTTTAAAAAAAAAAGATCACAATGTGTCTTTTTTAATGGAAATTCCAAAAAGAAGATGGCCGATCAAGATAGGGAATTCGGGATGTGGAAGAGGTGCCTTTCCCGAGGGTAAACAAAAAGGGAAAAGAGAGATGGAGGTGAGGTGGAGCGGGCTTTGGGTTTGGTGGATATCGCTACACCCTCCAGGGATTCTTCTGCCCTCGTATTCCTTGGCGATCGGGCCTCGATTGGGGGTTTTTAAGCCCCGAGAAAGCAAAAATAAAGCAAAAAAAAAACAAACAAATACTGCGATCCCTTGAAACGCGCGAAGGATATGCAGGTGAGAAAAGAGAAGAAGCCGGGGCGCAAACTGGGATTGGAGGGTGGAAGGAGAAGGTTTCGGAGGGTTGGAAACGGCGGTATATGGGTTAAGCTGGCGGCCAAGGTTCTGTAGTTTGGAAATGTATACTACAATAAGAATGTACGCGCATGCGAGGCCAAGGGGTTTACGTGCGAAAGGCCGTTTTTTTTCTTGGTTGGGCTTATATGGATGGAGTAGGTATATGTAGAAGGAATGATATTATGGATCAAAGCTCTCTCGTCCAGGACCGCCCGTTTCCGGATGCAAGTTGCAGGTCAATCAGAGGGACGCTTTAGCGGGTGGTCCTGGGATCTGGCCTTGATAGCTAGTGTGCGGGATTGGGAGGGTGGGATAGGATGGGGGGACACACAGACACTTTGTGCGGTACCCCATTGCTTGTCAGCCAATATCCGCCACGGGGGGGGGCGGGTCGTAAAGCAAAAGCAAAAAAACCTCGCTCGACTGGCAAACCAAAGCTGCAGGGTGCCGCCCACATTGGCACACACGGCCGACCCCACGGACCCTTTTGGCTTGAACCATACGTGCGGGATGTCACAGAGTCGGTTTTTGACAGCTTCTGGGTCGACGGCCTGGGAACGATGGCTTGTTTGGTGGCAACCACTGGCTCGAGTGGCGTGAGTTTTTGTTTTAATCTCGTGCTATTCTTCTTCATCTTTGTTCTCATTTCCATGTAAGTACTCTGGCTCGCGAATCCTTCCGTCTCACTCATCCTCGCCCAGTCGAGTGTATGAGACCGAGTGTGCGGGTCGACACAGGCCTCTCTGCTATCAGCATAATGATGCAAAGGCATTGCTCAGAGCTTGGGAGAGCAGCTGGAGCAAGGGTAGTGATAACGTGAATAGGGCTGATAGGCCAGGCGGGCTACGCAGGCTGTCGAGGCCCCCCCTGTTGTGCGTATCCGGGCGTCGAGGCGTGCTATGATGGGGCACACGCCCGCCTTAGCCTAGATACGGCGGCGATCAGAGATACCCACCATGCAGCACATCGTTCCTTGCGCAACTACTCCACGCGACACCCATCCTCGTTTGTTCATGCTGCATCTTTGCATAAAAGGAGACTGCGCTTTTCATGGCTGCGCATCATCCGCTTCCCACCCTCTTTGCTTGTCTGGGAAACTCCCAATTTCCGGTCACGACGCGCTCTGTAGAGAGAAGAAGAAAGTGTGCCCAAGTAGTGATGCGACCACCCACGTCCTTATCTCTCCGACATCTCGCATCGCCACAACCACTGCGCCGCGCACTATGCAGGTTCATTCGAGCATCATGCAGCAGCCCCTTGGAGGGCCATTTAATACATGTTTCTGCTGTCCGCATCCATCGGTAGCGCTGCCGGCTTGTCAATCATACCATGCTGCTGGGTGCTCTGCTCGCCTCGTCTTCCCCAATCATCCCGCTCTGCATAAGCCCTCTTTTCCTTTTTCTTGCGCCTACCGCTCGCCTATCCCTGGCATCCGCCTGTCACTGGCTACTTGACATCTTCAACTATCACCTTGTATATTTACATACCTAACCGGCGTACGTAGGTGGCTATTGTTAGATAGGCTATCGGGGCCAGAGGCTGAGGCTGTTGACTTGTCGAAACGAGGCCGTTACGGATAGACACTTTGAGCAACCTACGCGGCCCCTCACATCCTGAGCCTTGATGAGCATTGTCTCAACATTTCTTCGCGAGCTGCTTCTTAATGTACACAGCCTAGCCAATCGTGTCCGCTCGTCTAGCTGCAAACAGAGCAATCCATGGCCATGTCGTTGACAACCAACCACAAATCAAAACAACCACAGAGAGGTTGCTGGACCCGCACCCAACGCCTTACTCATGTTACGTGCATGTTTGCCGAGCATGCAGCCCTTAGCTTCAAATGAGCATCTCAACCAAGACCATCGGTTCTTATGCGTCAAATCAAGTCTCCGCCTTATCCATAGGCCTATTTTCTGATCCTTTTACCAAAGCCTACCTGGCAGCCTAATCTGCCCGCCAGCCAAGCATCCCACTTTCCCCATGAACGGCCGAATTCGCATATTTCAGCGGAACTGGCCCGCCCCACGGCCCGGAAATTGTCGTAGCTGCACGCACAGGCCCAGCGAGGCAATGTCGAACCAGATCACGACATGTGATAGCAGTACGCATTCCAGCAACAAGGTTCGCACTTCAGGGATGCGCAGGTGTCCCTGATCCTACCGGAGTGTTCGCCCCTGGTGTTCCAGAGTCGATCCCCACCTTCTTCTTCTTTTTCTTCTTCCGTGGGATCAGGGCTGGCGGGTTGGTCATCGCGCTTCGTAGCGATAGATAGGAACCACACGTTAGGCAGAGATTACCCGGGAGATCCGGGCTACAGAAAACTATGCGGTGTTAGGGCATCTGTGGGCGGGGTAGACAAAGAAGGTTCATCTTACTGCTTAAGCACACACTGCAGACAAAGCCAATATCAACAACTTTGCGATGACAGAAGCATGCGGCACGGAAATCAACACCACCGGCGCTGGGCACTACTAAGCTAGCTCTTGCCGTTACGTCAGGTAAGAAGGCCATCATCAGATACTGAAGCAAACCCTCTGGACGCTCTGGCTTCATGTACACTCCCCCAGTCGCATCACTGGCCTGCTGCAGCAGGACTGTATCGCCAGCCAGCTTCAGAATATCTATAGGTATCCGCTTCCTCTGTGCAGCAAAGATCGAGTTCATGACGGGTATGTATTGGTTGGCCAGATCGCCAGACACAGATACGATGAGGATGCGAGATGTGAGCGACACGCGGTCAACATGGGTGTTCTCCGAGTCGGCCAGCGCTGCCAGAGAGGCGCTCTCAGCTGAGGCAGCGGTGGGAGCATGTAAAATAGTCTGCTTGTTGATGTGCGTAAGCGCCAGCGAGAGGGCACCGCCAATGAGTGTCGTGGGCGTTGCTTCCAGATGACTTTCTTTAGTCTCGTTCAGCAGCTTGACAAAGTTCTGCAGTATCGTGCTCTCCACCACAGCGAATGGCCGGTACTTGTTCGCACTCTCAGCCGTATGTTGGCCTTTATCATCCCCAGTCCCATTCATTTCCACATCGCCATTTGCAGTGCCATTGCGTGACTGGGTTTGCGGCGCTACAGGCGACGGATAGAGGAAGGTGGTCTTGTGCGAGTGCGATGCTATGACGGCTACCTCGTTCGTATTTCCAGATGCCAAGTGCGCGTTGATGAAGACGAGAATGTTGGCCAGAGCAGTCGAGAGCGAGAGTGTCGAGGACAAGTGTGCCCAGGCATGTGGGTTTGTGTCAAGTACAATGGCTAGCAGCGAGGGTGGGGGGGCTGAGTGCTGTTAGTGGTGAATTTGCTGGTCCTTGTCCAGATCGCCTTGCCTTCTTCCGTCTTTATATGACGGTCTGAGCCATCGATGGTATTCATGGCGTTGATGTGGGTCCTGACCAGAGGCTCAAAGGACCAAAATATTCCGTTCAAGGCCTGCTCATGATAATTTCAGGAGCGTCGAGCTCGTTCCACTCGAGTTTTGTGGAGAGCGTGTAGGTTGAGGCTCCAACCAAACTATGAGGTCAGGTTCGCGAGCGGCCAAGGCTCGCGCAGCCCGTGCCACATCCGCGTAGCCACGTGACATCTTGCACCGCCATTGTCTAACGGCCTGGTGCCGAATGATATACATTGCGAGTGTGCAGCATCCTTACGTGCAAAGAGATATCTGAGATTCATTGTTGACGTTCCCTCTGCACAAGATTATCTCATGGTGTGGGTAGAGTGGGCATCATTGCCCTGTCATCGCTGGGTCAGGGTGCAATGGTAGTGACAGTACCCTCGACCAATAGTCTTGCCCTTGGTGGTTGATGTCGTTATTGGATCCTGAATTACCTATTCTTTGTTCATATCCGTGATGGGGCATGGCACAGGAAGAGCACCGGGGCAAAGGATTGCAATCACAACAACGCTCATCGCTAAAATTGCGCGTCGAACGATTAGCTATTGTTCGGCCACTGGCGCTGAATACGTAAACATGAACCATACCTTTCATTCTCAGAGATACTCCTAGATTTGGATCTGATCGAGTTTGGTACTGCTTTATCCTTTTTTTTATTCCTGTACATTGCCTCACCTCTTCCCCGCCCTCCACCCTGCATTTTGATCCTCACTCTGTGAAGACGCCAACATGATCACCGAGTCAATAAAAAGGGTAAATGGGTATGAAAAAAATCCCTATACATACTACCATTCTATTATTGTCGGCGCTAGAGCGTCCGGCATCGCTGCAGCATGTCAATTGAAAGCCCAACTCGGATTCGATCAGTTGCGCGTCTTTGGCCGCCAGACTGGAATTGGAGGGACTTGGTGGATCAATCGGTATTCTGATGTTTCTTGGTATATCTCCATACCCATATTTGCATTAAAGAGAAAGCGTTACAAATTCTCACACTATACTACATCATTTATGACTGTAAGAAAGAAAGTATCCCCCAACACTGATACTACACAGTGACATACCCGCAATATTCAACTCCTTCTCCTTTGCCCAAAACTCTAACTGGAGTTCCTTTCACCCACCCGGCAAGGAAATCGTCCAGTACTACAACGATGTGTGCGAGAAATATCAAGTCACCGAGAAATTCGAGCTCAACACCGACATCCAGAGCTGTAGATGGCTAGACAACGAAGCCCTATGGGAAGTCACTCTGTGCCGCCTAGTCGCAGGCATGGGTGACATCTCATCCAAAGACCCCATGAAAATAGTGCAAGAAAAGGGCAAGCAGGCAGTATATGCCGAGACGCAAGTCGTAAAAGCAAAAGTAGTACTGAGCTGTGTGGGCGGCCTAGTGGAGCCCAAAGCCTTTCCCAAAAACATCAAAGGCATCAAAACCTTCAAAGGCAAAATCTTTCACTCTGCACGATGGGACAACACAGCCAATCTTACAGACAAAAACTTCGTAGTGGTAGGATCAGGATGCATCAGCACACAAGTCGCGCCTCCGCTCCCTCACCCCCCTTATAAAGCCAAATCCGTAACCCAAATCATGCGATCACCACCCTGGGTCGTCACCGCCATTCCACCTCCCAGCGGCGACAAGTGGTGGAGCGCAAACGCGCCCTGGCTAATGCGCACCATACCGGCCCTCCAACAAACCATCCACTTCACCATCTTCTACAACCTCGAAAAAAAAACTTCTTCCAAATCTTCCCCAACAGCCCCTTCTCGCTGGCCATGCGCGCGAAATACTAGGACTGGCTCCTCGACCACACGCGGAAGACTGCACCGAGGAAATACTGGGACATACTGACGCTGGACTACGGTGTGGGATGTAAACGCCGTATCTACAATCAGTACTGGTTGAGTAGGCTGAATTATCCTAGCATAGAGCTTACGGACACAGCCTCTGAGTAGAATTACTGAGACGGGCGTCGTTGTCGGACTAGGTGCATCGTACCCGGCGAATGCAAAGAAGGCAGACTATCCTGAACGCGAGATCCCTGCTGATATCATCGTTCATGCCGACGGTTTCGACACAACGCGATGGTTGCATCCGCTTAAAGTCATTGGTAAAGAGAGAACGGATATTGTCGAGGCCATGGAGGAGAGGGGAGGCGCCCAGGCGTATCAGGGCACGGCTGTGGACGGGTTCCCGAATTTTATGATGATATTCGGACCCAATACTGTGACTGGGCATTCCAGTGTACTTATGGCGAGTGAAAGTAAGTCTTGCTACCCATTGCTCTATAACCCCTCTCTTCTCTACAAATCGTCGAGCTAAACTGAGGTGGATTTTTTTCTTTACTGACGTTACTAGACATGGTCAATTACTCCATCAACTTCATCCGTCTAATCCTCACCCATGACGCCCGCACTTTCGACGTCAATCCCGAGGCCGAAAAGGCGTACACGGCCCAGGTGCAGCGTGCGGTCGACAATACCGTCTGGAATAGCGGGTGTTCGAGCTGGTATTTTACCGACAATGGCTGGAACTCGACTGTGTATCCCTACTCGCAAGTCTTCTTTTGGTATCGTTGCCTGTTTGCCAAGTGGAGTGATTGGAATATTGAGTACACACATGAAGGATTGGTTATAATGAGAATAAGGAGGATGCTGAGGATGTCGGTGTCGCTGCTCGTGGTTTATGGGGCATGGAAATTGAGTCTACATGAGTTGGGGTTGAGGGAATGGAAGTATCTTGGCCGCATTGTAGCGCAGGGTTTCATGCAGAATGCTATGCAACTTGGTGAGAGGACATGGAGTTCAATTCGGCAGTAAAATAGATAGTTGTGACTGTCTACTTCGCCATATAATACCTCAACAGTAAGATTCAGTAAAGAGGCGTAGGGAATGTGGAAACACAGAGTATTCTTGTTTAACAAATTGATCGGCGTTCGTCAGAATTGGCACTGAATGCTTCTGTTGGCAAGCCGCTATGTCTGGCGAGACTTCGACTGCCCGCCAGACATCCCTCATCATACTACCTGACTGACGTAGTCTTCGAGTGTGGTAGTCGTATGCTCGAGCGCATATATTCTTACAGCACTTTGCTTATATAATGGATGTAGTGAAGTATATAGTCCAATATTCAAACTACAATCATTAGTACAAGTCCTTGCTGTCATGTATATGGTCGTACCATCGAGATAATCAGCAGCAATCAGCAGCTCCAAGCACAGCTCAGGCGGTATATCCATATCCGAGACGTCTTTGCTCTCCGCATGCTTCTGGTTGTAATAAAGGTACTCACAAACCTTCTCTAGTACAACGCCACTGACTGATGGTTAGTTAAAGCTCATCAAGTATCTTTCGCCCTCAGTGGCGTGAGCCTATTGAGGCAGCACATGCGGGGCGCGGAGACGAATATTCAGACGTACTTGATGGTCGGTAGATCGACGCGATTCTGTGCATTTTCCCGGAAGCCAGCTGAAGGGTATCATTAGTCGCTGCAGGGTCCACTGTGGTACATGATCCTGAGGTTGCAAGGCGTACACATAGGATCCAGCGCCTTCTTGATTGTTCCTGCTATGCATGCTGCAGAACGCAACAGCTTGAATTCGTAGCCGTCGTTAGACACCAACGTGACGTACTCGGTGGGCTTGTCGTCTGCCATTGTTGCAGGCAATGGGCGGAAAAGGTATTCGTCGTGGGGGTGAGAGGCAAGGGTAAGGATTGCGGGGAAAGCTGGCGAGTCGCGCAGTCACGTTTTCTCGCGTAGCAGGGACGTTGGACACTGACATCATCTCATCTCTCTCAATTCATCGAAGCCCACCCATCTACTTCACATTGGTCAGGGCTTGTCAATTGGCCTCATCTCTGTAGTTCAACAGAAGATTACATGGCAAAACAATTAGAGGCTGAGAGAACAACCAGTTACCATTTCCCAAAGTCTTACAATTGACTTTGGAGAAGAAAAAAAACTCTACCATGGCAACGAGACCGCGACATATACTCATCACAGGCGGGAGTCGCGGCATCGGACTATCCATAGCCCAACTATTCGCAAAAAATGCATACAGATGCACCCTGATATCGCGTTCAGAGCAAAATCTTCAAGCCGCCGTCTTGTCATTACACCCTCTGACAACACCCCATCCCCAATCAACCTTACCAGACACAAACTGCATCCAATACCAGCACGGCTACATAGCAGCCGACATATCCGACGGCCCAACCTTCTGGTCCGCCCACTCCTTCGGCACCCACCTCCCCAAACCACCCCGGAGCGCACCCTCCACACACCCCTCGTACATCGACGTAGTCGTAAACTGCGCCGGCATAACCCAAGCCAGACTCTTCAGCATGCTCGACGAGACCACCATCGACAAACTCATCACCACCAATCTAACCGCCCTAATGCACGGCACTAAGTTCTTAATCCGCAATGGGTACATGCGCGGCCCCAAGACCGAAACTCAGGGCCACAGCCCAACTATTATTAACGTGGCCTCACTTCTGGGTCTGCAGGGCGGGTACGGTGCAGTTGCTTATGCGGCGTCGAAGGCGGGTGTGCTAGGTTTCACGCGCGCGCTGGCGACCGAGTATGCGAGTCATAAGGTGCGGGTTAATGCTATTGTGCCGGGCTACGTGGATACGGATATGACGAGAGGTACGTGATGTTTTTGCGTCCGAGGGCTGGTTGGTGAGAGTGAGTTGGAAACTGACACGTGGTGATGTGTAGATCTCAACTCTGCGGAAATCCAACAAAGAATTCCGCTGGGTAGGTTTGGGACACCGGAAGAAATTGCGCATGCGGCGCTGTTTCTTGCGGAGAATCAGTATGCACATAATTGTGTGATTAATCTGGATGGGGGGCTGTCTGCCATCTGAATCTAGGTCATCTGAGATCGAAGTGGGATGTCTAATATCTTGTATTATTGTATGATATTTTTGCCAGTGCGACCACGTGGGTACGGTCGTTATTTTCTTACTTCGCCCACTTATGAGGTTGACCTACTCGCTCGCCACCGAACAGGTCCTGAAAAGAAGAGGAAAGCAAAAAGGTATATTCGTGTCCATGCTGCCTTTGAAAACGCCTTTTGCTCAAAGACTGACTAGATGGCAGACTTGCTATAGTACAGAGTAGGAAATCTATGTGTGCTTCGCAGGTGTTGAGACTGCCGCGCAAATCGATTGGAGAGTCAAGGGTGGTGCTACCCTTGGCCAACAAGCAAAACATGCTGGTAATGCATGTGCTACAGTGTGGAAACCGGGAAAGGTTAGACACGGCCAAGGTTCTGGCAATGGTGGAGGAGATCAGGGTCCTGGGCCAATCCTAGAAGATGACGCGCCAACTTGCAAGAGTTGACCAAGCGTTTTTAGCGTATAGCTTATTCAGTCATCTTCAATGACGATAGCACCGTTGATGTGGTCTTCCTGAATGACAATATGGTCACCATCCTGCTTCAGAGGCTCTTCCATGACTTTGCCTTTCTTGCGTATGAGCTCATCATTCAGACCGGCCTCGGTAGCTGTTCGCTTCGTAGCACCATTCGCACCTTCATCTGTAGTGTCATTGTTGGTTGGAACGGTGCCGTTAATAGTAGCATGCCCATTGGTCTCTGGAGCGGGTGCCTTGGGCTTTGTTGCAATCTTGACCTCATTGGGTAGCCTCAGAGGCTTTGCGTTCTCAGTGAATTCTTGATGAGTGATGGAAAAGACCACGTCAACCTTGGCGTTCTCTTCTGCATCGTCGGAGATGGTGATGAAAGTGTCGTTCTTGAGCCCCAGCTCCTCAAATGTCTTATCAAGATGAATGTCCTCATCCACATCGTAAAGTATATCGGCATCACGCTTGACGCTAAAATCTTCAGCGTATCCAAGATTCTCCTTCAGAATGTAGTCGACCAAGTCGCTCAACTTTGCACGTTTTGTATCAACAGCGAGCGAAGCATAGCATACGCTGCATGTCGCGCAGTGGGGATTAGGTGGCCGGAGTGGCTCGCTGGAGATGACACGCTCTGTGCCGCGGGTAAGAAATACCATTTTTGCCTTGTCAAGCTGCTCGCGGAAAACCTTGTAGGCTTGGAGAACGCAGAGACTGGCAGTCATGGCATTGGTGGTTGCGATTGCAGGGATGATGTTACCGGCCATTTCTACAGTCTGTTAGCAAGATTTCTCAAAGTCCGTGTCAGAGTCCCTACGTTTGATATCGAACTTGGATCGCATTTCAATGCCAAAGATGTGTGACCGGAGGTTGGCGCTTGCGACAACAAAGTCGAGCGTGTCTACGTCGTCCTTATCGAAGCTGAGAACGGGCATTGAGTTTCCAATCTCATTGTTTGCGCGCGTCTCTTCCAGCCGGTTGCTCAGTCGCTTTATGCTATCAATGAAGACAGCAAAATTCTCGGCAACAGTCCAAACGATTTGGTCTTGTTGCGCGATGAATTCACCCACCTCCGCCGACTCTTGTACCAGCTTTTCGTAATCCAGAACCTCGGGTGCTTTCCTAGTCTTCCACATATCTTCCATGCTCCGCAAACGCTCAATGTCTTCCTCGAAGACTTTGTCAAAGATCAGCCGTGGGAAATCTTGGGAGCCCATGGAGTCGCGTATGCGCTTCAACGCTTGTGCCTCCTTGCGCAGGTTTGCGACCTCGTCCGCGTTATCGGCATCTTCACTGTGATCCAGCTCGGGGGCCTCATCTTCAGACGTGCCGAAAATCTCAGCAAACAAATACGACTTTGCCCAGACGATGCAGTGAATAGGTTGTGACGGGGTGCTACGAATGGTGCAGACGGGGAAGGACTTGGGCGCATCCTTGGGCGTGCAATCGTAGCATTCAGTTTCGCCCTATTGGCAACAGTCAGCATGTATAGTCTCAAGAAGCTTGAGTTTCTGGTTGCGCACCCGCTTGATGACCTGGACCTGGCCGTTGAAGCCCGTGGTGCCACTCTCAATCAATGGCACGCCGGCCGCCAGACACATTTTGTTGACATGGCGGCGCGCATCCACATTGTCGAGCGCGTTGAAGACGAGACGGAAGGTCTTAAACCACACGACGTTGAATTGGGTGTCCTTGATGTTGTTGTGGTATGCGATGATGTCAACATTGGGGTTGAACTTGGCAGCCGACTCTTTCGCAACCTGTCGGGGGGTCAGCGCATGCCCAGCCACGTGTGTGGATGTAGCGGTTGCCCTACCAGTGCCTTTGACTTCTTGATGTGCTCGTTGCGGAACAGGAATTGGCGGTTGAGGTTGCTGAGGTCGATGGTGTCGAGGTCGACGATGTGGATCTCGCCAAAGCCAGTGAGGACCAGGTTCTTGAGGAGCTCGCAGCCGATGCCCCCAGCTCCGACCATCAAGACGCGCGACTTGGACTTGGTCAGCCACGACTGGGGATTCTGTTGCGTAGGCGGATAGTTACCTCTTTAATGCGCTGGTGGAGCGCGCCGCCCAGGCTCTGGCGAGCAAACTTGTCGCGAGCCATTGCGGGTTCGGTTGTGTACAAGACCAGAAGTTGAGTTGGGTTACTGGCGAGGTTGCGACATGCGAAGCACAAGGCTGCGACGCCGATTCCCAGGTGAAGGTGAAGGTCAGAGACACTAGAGACGACAGACGAGAGACGTCAGTGCTGCCCATAGCGCCGCTCCACCGGGTTCGCGCCGCCAGCTTCTCAGCCTCCGAATCTTGGCACCTAAACGAACGCCCTATGAGTGGAGCATACCACTCGAGACGCAGGGACGCACATTCATCGCTACTCACCTGAATTGTGGACTTGCCTCTTGTCTGGGCCTCTCTCTCTCTCTCTCTCCTCCCTGCCCTTTTCGATACTGGAGCTAGTGGCTTCTCCCTGCCCTCATCATGTCCGACGATGAGGTCGACCTGGAGCTGCTAGACCTTATGCGGAAGCATTGGGGTGGCGGTGTCAAACAAGACGGTCCCCCGGAAACAAGAGTGCTCGAAAATGCTCAATTCATCTACGACAATAGCCTTGATGTTGCGCTGGACATGCGGTCGACAAAAGTCGCAGCTCAGCTTGTGCTCGATGAAATGGAAAAGCGTGAGTATTCAACAAAATCATGGTCCGAGCACGAACTGCATCCGAAAACCAAGGATGAGGACACTGTCAACTTTATCTTCACAATGGACCTGCTGAACTTCAGCTTCTGGAGTGAAAAGAATGATGAAGACCGGTTTGCTGTAGTCTACAAGGGAAAGAGGTGGACTGGCTATTGGAGCCTAGTAGCAATACTTCAAAGAGCCCTAGAGCAAGAAATCCCCATCACTAGTCCAGAGTTCTGGGTTGACCAGGAGGCATGTTCAGAAGAAGTGCTGCGCACGGTATTTAGTTCTGGCACGGACGAGGAGATCCCCATGTTTGAGCAAAGGGTACGGTGTCTGCAAGAGGCTGGACAGATTCTAGAGGAGGTGGGTTCATTCGCAAAAAAAAAGACCCCAAATTGTGAAGTCAGTTTTTGACTGACGGAACAGGAGTTTGACGGTAGCGTGGTCACCCTCATTGAGGATGCAAATAATTCAGCAGCCAGCCTAGTCAACTTACTTGCCGAAAAGTTCAATTGCTTCCGAGATGAGGGCACTTTTGAAAACAAAAAGGTACGCTTCTTGAAGCGGGCCCAGATCTTCGTAGCAGACTTATGGGCGGCTTTTGAAGGCGAGGGATATGGTGAATTTAACGATATCGACAAGATCACCATGTTCGCAGGTACGTATACATTTCATCCGCAACATCGATGCACAAAATTCATGCTTTTCTAGACTACCGCATACCGCAGATGCTGCATTCATTAGGCATCATATGGTACTGCCCGCCTCTCGAGAACAAAATCCGCCGTCTTGAAATTATCGAATCAGGGCATACTTGGGAAATGCAAATACGCGGGTGCAGCATCTGGGCCGTGGAACTTCTCCGCCGTGAGATCAGCAAACTCAAACCAGATACGGAAGTTAATGCGATTCTCATTGACTTCTTCCTATACGATTTGGCCAAGGAAAAAGAGAAGGAAGGGGTAGACGTAATCCCGCATCACCGGACGAGAAGTATATGGTATTGAGAAGCAATCGAGTCTAGTTGTAATCGCCGATGAAACGACGCCCAGAGTAGTCCCCACTGACTCTCACTCTTGCAAAAGACTGATTGGTCGCAAGTTTCTCATCACATCATGAGCAAGGTCCTGACTCGCAATACACGCACTGCCTCTTCAAGGCCCCACCACTTAAACTTTATAAGTAAGCTCGCACGTACGGCATGCAAAGTCATCATCAAGCCGCAAATTACCGTACCTTTAAGCCGGCTTTCACGGACTGCCTTTGCGCACCAAATTAGGCGCAGAGAATACCGTCTGGCCTTGGCGGCCGTTCCGTATTGCGGTCAATCGTCATTTGCCGATACTAGTGCTGACCATCTGGAGATCATCCTTGTCATGAAAATATATAGTTGTAGTAAGTAAGCCTGGCGAGCACTTATGAACGTCCCTTGTTGGGACATGGGCATGGGAAATGGGAGCAGAGACAACGAAATGAACAGAAACTTTCGGTACGATTTGATCGTCTGCCGTAAGTCTTACTTGCATCATGAAGGCTATGCGTGAAAGTGTACGCATTCACACCCTTATTATTAATTTTGGCCTCATGTTTGCCGTCTACATCCGTCCTTTGGACCAGACGCGGTGGTAATACGTGAGATTTCACAGCCATTCATTACCCTCATTCTTATCACTCGTTCTTCAGCTGCTCTTTCCAGAGTTCCAGTTGCCATTCATTTCAAAGATTGTGTGCATACTTCCATGTACGTATTCCAATTGATATCACTCGAGTGGACCAACAACTCACCATACATTAAGATATTATAATCATGGGCAACATCGTGAGTGCCGCCCAATCGGGAATCTCCACACATACTGGGGGGTCTGCAGGTATTGCAGGTTCCGCGATCCACCAATGTCTCATCAACGCCGTAGGCGACAACAATGTCGCCTTCAAAGGCGACCCTCTCTACCAAATCAATGATGTCAAGCCGTACAATCTTGATATCCAGATCACGCCCACCGCAGTCACCTACCCCAGCACTGCCGATCAAGTTGCTGCGATTGTCAAATGTGCTGCCGAGTGCAATCTGGCTGTACAATCGCGCAGCGGCGGTCACTCATTTGGAAACTACGGCATTGGAGGACAGGACGGTGCTGTTGTCGTCGACTTGAAGCACTTTCAGAAGTTCTCTATCGATACTTCTACCTGGCAAGCTACTGTTGGTAGCGGAACCCGTCTTGGTGACCTCACCAAACGACTCGGCGAGAATGGTGGCCGTGCCATGGCTTATGGAACATGCCCACAAGTCGGTGTCGGAGGACACGCACTTATCGGTGGACTTGGACCAGCTTCTCGCATGTGGGGTGCTCTTCTCGACCATGTTGAGGAAGTCGAAGTCGTTCTAGCCAACTCAACTGTCGTGCGTGCCTCGGATAAACAACATCCGGATCTCTTCTTCGCTTTGAAAGGAGCTGGCGCCAGCTTTGGTATTGTCACTGAATTCAAGCTTCGGACTCAAGCAGCACCCAGCAACGCTGTCATTTACTCTTACACTTTCGCAGGTGGCTCGACACAGTCAAAGGCAGATCTTTTCAAGAGGTGGCAGAAGTTGGTCTCTGATCCTCAACTTTCGAGAAAGTTCGCCAGTCAGTACATCATTGCTGGACCTATTGGCGCCATCATCACTGGTACTTATTTTGGTAGCCAAGCAGAGTACGACAGCCTGAACCTCTCTTCCCGTCTTCAAACAAGCCAGAGCAATAGCTCCATCGAGATGAAGGATTGGCTCGGTGCTGTCGGTCACTGGTCAGAGCAGGTCGCATTGCAAATTGTCGGCAACGTCCCAGCTCACTTCTATGCCAAAACCCTTGCCTATACACAGAAAGATCTGATGTCAGATGCTACGGTTGACAAGGTCTTCAAATACATTGACACGGCAGACAAGGGCGGTGCGCTTTTCTTTATGATTTGGGATCTTGCGGGTGGCGCCGTCAACGACGTTGCGGAAGATGCAACTGCGTATGGACACCGCGACGCGCTGTTCTTCCACCAAGCATATGCCGTCAACCTATTGGGCAGGGTAAGTTCATCCCACATCGTTTCACACTATAGACAGCTTTTCTAACAGTATGCAGCTCAACGACACGAGTCGCGCCTACCTCAACGGCATCAACGACGTCGTTATCAACTCGCGAGCAGACCGCGATCAAGGCGTGTACCCGGGCTATGTCGATCCCGCATTGGGCCCGAACAGTGCAGCCCTTTACTGGGACGACAATGTGAGCAAGCTACAACAGATCAAGGCTTCAGTGGACCCGCGCAACGTCTTCCGCAACCCGCAGAGTATCCAGCCAGCGGGAAGATCAGCTAAGCAGAGGGCGATTGTATACTAACTGTCTCGGATGGAAACCTGGGGGCTTTGTAGGAAGCTGGGTTCTACAGGCTAGGATCGGGATGCTATTCTTCTACACCTATATTTCTAATGACTCATATACATGAATTTATCCTTCCAAGAAAAACCATACTCGATGCATGCAAGGCCAACGTCGTACAGCATATACGTATCGTCTCTTGTCTCCTTGGCGCCGACCGGCTGCTCTTCAGCTGAAGCCACAAGATGAAAGTAACAGCTCGGCATAAAAACGCATCATGCTATGGAACATCATCCATCACCCCAAAAAATCAAACTACTCATCACTCGCTCGGTAGCGCTCTCTCATATATCCGCTTCGTGTCTACTTAACCATTGCTCACAATGACTTCACCATACCCACCCACTCCTCAAATCTATCCCCAACAACCGTACCAATCAAACCCCTACCCAAGTCCAGATTCCCAGTGGCAGCAACACCCCCAAATGAATTACGCTGCTCAACCAATTCCCACTCAAAACGTGCAAATTCCCGGTGGAGAAGCAGAGAAACAAGATGAACCGTGCTGCTGTGCGCGTGGAGGCTGCTTCTGGACCTGGTTTGATTGCAGGATGATATGTGTGGAGTGTTGTCCGTCATGTTGTTTTTTGTGTTGGTGAAGGGAGTAATGGGGGGTGGAGGGTACGTTTGCTTGGGGTGAATTATTACTTTAAGATGGGGGTGGGGATCGGAGATGCTACGCAGCGGATGAAGGTGTAGGATATGTTCTGTCTTTGGAAGTAGGGTATGTTGTACAGTTACATTATTGTGTGATGGTGGTGCTTGGCGAGGAAATGGCCTGTTACACGACGTATTGGCGTCTATTTGGCATTGTTCGGGGCATGGTTGTTGGGGATTTCTTGGGAGGTAATCAGTCGGTTTTTGAGATAGGAGAAGAGGCATTTCGTGTTCTTTCTTATCATGGATGCTTAAAGGGCTTGTGAGAGTCTGCATGTCGATGCTACAGCCTGGAAAATATCCTGCTTTCTACACCAGGCAACGTAAATCTGGTTAGTATGGCCGCTGAGAGTAGTGGTTGCTGGAAGGGACAGGAAAGAGGACTATTGTTTGTGTCATGTCATAGATTACACCGCTCTAATAATAAAAATATTCACGACAAATCATGAATTTACCAAGTTGCAATATGTAATACATAAAGGGGATGAGATTGGGCGTATAGAAGTCTCGCTGATGTTGGTTTTTCGCAAGCGCTCTCCATAGCGACGTAAGAAATTCGGAAACCTCCAGCTTGCCGCACTTTCTTTTCTATAAACGGGAGCACATGTTAGATTTACCTTGTTGGTTGAGACAATAGTGAAGTCCCTGGAATAAGTGGTTACTGGTGGTTGTCGGTACCGCACAAGCACTTGAAGCATGAATTCAACAACGTTAGCCAAACCAACCGCATTCTGAATGTCGGGATTGGAAAGGAAATGATTTAGAGTACTGCAATTTCTGAATTCGTATATAAAAGTTCACAGCGATGAAAGTCAGTACCGCGAAACCTGTGTTCTTGTACAGTGGCGAAAATGCGCTGTCGTCCGTGCGGGCGCAACCTAAACCCGAGGAAATTTCGGTCAACCCCTTGCATTAACCTGTTGCATTGGTCCACCATCACCTGCACGAAGAATACTAGCAAAGTCAAGAGTTAATCTCGCCTCGGTCAAGAAAATATGACTTAAAGGCCGACTCTGAGTAATTGGCCTGTGAGATTTGGGCTTCTCTGCTGCGGCGGTACGTCCCTTATGGACTCTTTACTATCCAATAAGAACGTTGTCCGCCAAGGAATACATGTCACTCACTTATTGCAGTTTCTAATAACATAATCCTCTCGAAAGTCTCCAATGATCTTCAAAGGCAGTTGGCCGTCTGTGCCTTTGAGGCGCTGCCTTCCTTACAGGCTCCCTGGTTGTTCCTATTCCACACCATGGCATCTTCAGGAATTCCAGAACAAACGGCAGGTCAAGTCTGCCCCAGATTGCAGCAGTACGCAACGGAGGCTTTTATGGGGTAGCAGTGAACCGCCACAACACTTCGGACCAAAAACCCGGATACCGGATCTCTTCGAGAGAAAAGATGCAATACATTTGAAACTTGCAGCTCAGCAATTAGAATGGTGCGAACGCCCACCACGACATCACCACGATATGTTAGAGGCAGTGTCAAGGGTCGGGCGCATTGAAGAGCGCATTCAGTACACCTTCAGAAACAAAATGTTATGCGTAGAAGCATTGAAGATCACGGCATTGAACTACCCTCTATTTTTCAAAGGGATGGTTCATAAAGTCAAACCGAACAATCGCCTAGCATTGCTGGGAGATCGAGTACTCAGCATGGTTTTGTGTGATATCTGGTATAGTACAGGATACTCACCAGGTGTGTTTAACGCGTAGCTCATATAACTCACACTAACACTCCGGATAGCTCATTGTAGGCGATCTCCTACTAACATCATGTGAGACCATATCTAAGCTTACATATCCTATAGACATGAAGGCCCGACAAGCAACAGAAACAACATCTAAGCTGCACTCTAAAGCCCATAAATTTAGTATAGACAGAGAAGTCCTAATTGGCGAAGGGGTGTCTGCCGCATCAGTGAGGCAAAGCGCTGAGAGCCTTGAAGCTATACTCGGCGCTGTCTACGTGGATTCTGATCGCAACCTCGAAACGGTCAAGCAGGTTATCAAAAGTATCGAACTCGATAGACACCAATTCTTGCAGGCACTGCCCGAAGCACATCCTGAACTACAGGACTGGAAATGGCAGCATATCGTGTATCGGGAGGAAGAGCAACTGTTCGAGGAAAGGATTAAGTCTTTGGAACATAAGGCAGAAGAACTTCAGAACCATTGGAGGGATGCCGAATCCTTCACCACAAGTGTGTCAGGGGCGAAGCCCAACATCAGCCCCGAAGCGCAGTCTGCTATCCGCACAGAGGCTGCAAAGCTGGAAATCGATGCAAGGCAGTTATTGAAAGAAGTTGAACAAGCTCCTATTTCTGCTGTTTGCACCCAAGTCAAAGAAATTACCAGGAAGAGGACAAAAATTATGATCCATACGGCACTAGCGTTGCAAAGTGAGATGGATCACTCTGATGGAATTATTGAAGAGCAGTCAACTGAGGAGCTTGCTACTGGCCCGACGACCACTGACGATTTGGATCCAATCGTAAGTGCATATGAAGCAGTTGCGAAGCCAACCAACTGCTGAATACTCGAGATTGTTTCAGTATACACTAGCTAACAAGGCACTTCTGAAGAACGAGAATCCGCCACCCGACGAGTCTGCACCAGAAGGTGCTCCAGAAAAAACGGAAGAACAGCCAGATTCACTGACTCGCCTCTTTTTGAGTAAAAACAGCAGAGGTGCTATGCCGAAATTGGCTATCTCAGCTTCACAAAGGTCTTCGTCAATACCAGCTGATTCGGTATTGCCGAGGGATCGCAATCCTGTTATCATAGCTCTCATAGACGAGTTCAACGAAGTTGTCAAGCAACACCACACGTCAAGAACGAGAAATATAGGACTATGGTCCAACAAAGAATTCGGTCTCAAGTTGGTCGCATGGAGCAACGCATTGACAAAAACAAGGACTCTTGAGCGCCGAGGCGAAACAGTTGATACACTGGCCATGTACGAAGACATGTTGCAAAAAGCTCTGGAAAGCAGTTTACCTGCCGAACGGAAAGCATTGGCTGATCGAAAGAAAATGGCTCTATCAAAAAAAGCCAATCCAGCGGTATCTCTGGAGGTTGAGAAACCTACGACCTCAACACCTGCAAAAGAAGAAACCAATCTTACAAAAGAGCAAGACCAAGGATATGACCACGGACATGACCAAGGACAAAAAAAAGAAAAGAAAAGATTGGCACCTGCTCACAATAGACATCAGAAGGAAACTAAAGAATTTTTGGAGACCATTAAGCATTCAGAGCACACTGCGGAGAGCGTTGAAGATTTAGAGCGAAACATCAGCGAATTCCACACTGCCGCATGGGAAATCACCAACAAAACTGCAGAACGGGTTCCACAGCGTTTGTCAAGGAGGCCCTTACATAGACCTCAAACGAGTATCAAAATCGGTAGCCTAACTTGGAAGACTACGTCACCACGCCAAGGCAAGACAACATCAGAAGCCCCTCCTCGGACTTGGAGCATGCGGAAACCAAGAAAAACTCTGATTCGGTATCAGGACCCTCTCACACAGTATGGAACATCGACTTTTTCGTCTCGCCCGAGGTCTAGAGATCGTGCGGATCCGTGAGCGTGGGGTCTGAGTTATGGTAGAGTTGTCGAAGGGAGGTCGGGGTGGTCTTCACTGTTCTTGGTTCGTATATTTTCAAGGGGCCTCAGTCATGGGTTTGTTTCACGTGTAGTAGGTATTCATGTATTGTTTTCATCATTACCTTTTCTGTGCAAGGGGTACATGTATGTACTAGGGATTTTATGAATACAACAATGGAAGTTTAGTGATTGGTGCGATATACATATTAGTACACTTGTTGCAACTGCCAATCGGCATTTTCGGTATCTAGGATCGCTTATTGACAAGCGACATCTCGTTCATAATCTCTTTGTCATATACATGGAGCCGTTGCGGAGGCACGTAATTAATACCGTTACCATCATCAGCATTTCACTACCCAACTTCCACTGCGGAGCATTACCCTCAGAAACGAGTGTCGATCAGGCCTCTAGACTGGGTACTGTAGATCAGATTAGCACCAGGGTTAGCTATGACCTCAAACCGTCGATCTCGTATCACATCAGAACTCTTTACTTCAAACACCTCTTCAAAAGAAAACACATATAGAACACATTTACACATACAATCTATACATTTCCATACACCCGTTTTTACAACTGGCCCAGCAAGTCCAAAACCTCACCCTTGAGCCCCTCCACCCCAACATTCCTCACAACCCCCAACCTCCTACACTGCACCTCCACTTCCCTACTCTCCTTCCAGCGCTTCCCCAGCACAACAACAACCGGATACCCGATCAAATCCGCATCCTTCATTTTCCACCCGAGATTCTTGCCAGAGCGATCATCTAGCACTACATCCATTGCCTCATCACCACCTCGTCCAGACAACATATCATAAACATCGTGAATGTCTTTTTCCTCTGCTGCCGGGGAGCTCAGCATAACGACTTCGTAGGGAGCAATGGCGCGGGGCCAGGACAATCCTTTGGCGTCGGATAGGAGTGATGCCACGGCGCCGATTATACGGGATACGCCGATGCCGTGGCAGCCCATTTGGATGGGGGAGGAGAGGGATTGATCGGGGAGTGCAACAACGGCGTTTAAGGGGGTGCTGTAGCGCGTGCCGAGGTGGAAGGTGTGGCCTATTTCTATGGCTTTTTGGACGTCGAGTTTGCCTTGGGTGCAGCGCGGGCAGAAGTCGCCGGGTTTGATGATGGCGAGGTCGATGTTTGAAGAGTTGGAGGGTAGAGAGCGGTCGTATAGGTCGATGGTGTTGATTGCTTTGGGGAGGAGGGTCGAGAGGGTCGAGGATTCGATTCCAGTGTCCATGTCTAGGTCTGCGGGTAATGCTTTTTTAACGGCGTGGAAGTTGATGAATGCGGGGGCTGTGTCCCAGGATCCTGTATCGCTTGCTCCTAGATCAGAAGGCCATGGGATGTGGATGTTGATTGCCGTCTTCTTGTCTATACTTATGCCTGTGAATGTGATCGCGTCTCCGGTATTTGTCGTGCTATCAGTCTTCTTTTCTACGAGCTCCTCATTTGCGACATAGTCGCATGAATTACACGACCATACGTTGTCCTCGCCTTTTGGCGATACAAAATGATACTCATGACTTAGTTTGCCGCCCATGTTTCCAGAGTCGGCATCTGCGACAAGGTAAGGAATCTTGAGTTCGTTGAAGAGGTTGTTGTACGCTTCTCGGACAGATTCGTAAGTCTTCAGAGCGGCTTCCGTCGAGTGGTCTAATGTATACAAATCCTTCATCATGAACTCTTTTGCTCGAAGTAATCCTTGTCTCGGTCGTCGTTCGTCGCGGTACTTACGGCCTATCTGATACAGTCTCAATGGCAGATCCTTGTACGAATGTACCATACTGGCAACAAGAGCTGTGATCTCCTCTTCATGAGTCGGAGAAAGTAAAAATCCGGATTCTTTCCTGTCTTTGATGCGAAGGAGTTCTGAGTTTGCAGAATACCGGCCGGATTGCCGCCATAATGTTTCAGTGGTAATGGTAGAGAGTGAAAGTTTCGAAGCGCCTATAGAACCCATATGCTTGTCTATAAGTGCTTCAAGTTTGTTTTGCACACGTAGACCTAGTGGCAGAAGATGGAAGACTCCTGAATGTGCCTGCACGTGATGAGTTGGGGTCTGGTGATGGGGGCGGGACGGTGAGATGTACCTGGCGCAGAAAGCCGCTGCGTATAAGCAAAGAATGCGACTCATCTTATGATTTCGTCAATAGATGTTTCGAATAAAACACGGAAGCTTGCTTGCCTTGCTCCCCATCTTGTGGTGCGATTCCGCCAGTTGGTGCCCAGAATTTAGATAGTCGATTTCTCGAATCGGTCTGAGATAATGATCAGTTTGAAAATATTTGAAACCCATGATACGCAAAATATCTTACAGTTATGTATCTAGTATTCCGGCAACTCTGAATTAGTGTTCTCGATATTCGGGGTTGCCGTAGAGTTTTCCACATTTGAGTCGCCATGCCCGCACGGCTGAGGAATTAGCCTAAGTGAAGATGTAACAAAAATTGGAAACGCTTGGTTATGACGTTAGACACTAGAAGTACAGCAAGTTTGAAAGTACTTCAAAGATAACCAGCAACTGCTAAGAGCCGCCGTCGTGAGATGCCAAGCACGGACCACCTCCGAACCTGAACGCATGGAAATATTTGGACAAACAACTCGACGTCCATTGCGACACGACCACAGCCCATGTAAGTGCTGAACCCCGCCTGTAGAGACAACCTCTCCTCATACAAACATTAACAGTGTCAGAATGCCTCCACGGATACGTATACGGCCACGGGCCCTCTGCGCCTGCACCTCACGCCCCAACCACATCATCTCTCTTCCCGCAATCGCAACCTACGCCTCGGTTGCCGCAGCCTCAGCAACTACCCCCGCCCCGCCAATCCAGCAGACATACAAAGCCACAGCGCCAGTGCTACGGTACCCGCCCACTCAGCCACCCTCTCATAAGCCCCCAGAGGTCCGCAAGACACAATTGCACCGACAATACCAATCGCTACTCAAGTCATCGCCCTTGATCCTAATTTTCCAACACAACAATGTCAAGGCTGTGGAATGGATGAGCATACGACGAGAGCTCGCTATTGCGCTGAGGAAGCTCGATGCGCAGCGAGCAGCCAATGGCAAGGAATCGCTAGCCGACGAAATCAAGATGCAAGTCGTGCAAACCAACATCTTCGCAAGCGCATTGAGGGTAGTTGAGTTCTTCCACCCAGAAGAAGCCACTCTAGATCACGCACAACATCCCACCGACCCCCGCACAGCGACCAGCGCGCAGATACCGCAGACCAGCAACCAAGCCGACGATGAGCGTTTCACACACGGCCTGTCAAGACGAGCCCACGAAATAGCCAACAACCGCAAACTAAAGCTAGAACTGGAACCTCTCCTCGCTGGCCCCATCGCCGTCGTAGCCTTCCCCGCCGTATCACCCGAATACCTCAAAGCGGTCCTCTCCATCCTCTCCCCCTCCAAACCCGACTTCCCTGCCCCAAGCCGCAAGGCTAACCCCGACTACTACGAGCCCGCAGTGCAGGCCGGACTGCAGAAGCTGATGCTACTGGGCGCACGGGTCGAGGGCAAGGTGTTTGACGTCGAGGGTGCCAAGTGGGTTGGCGGTATCGGTGGCGGCCTTGACGGTCTCAGGGCACAGCTTGTCCACATGCTGCAGGGTATTGGGGGTAGTCTTACCAATGCGCTCGAGGGCGCGAGCAAGAGTCTCTACTTTACTGTTGAGGCGAGACGGATGGATATGGAAGAGAAGGAGAAGGGGCCCGAGGAGAAGAAGGAATAGGATAGTACTTTATGCTGTACATGTATGTTTGGTCCGAAATGGAAATGTAGGAATACTTTTGTACAGAACGGACATTTTAAATCGCATCTACATTTCCCCGTTGTGTGAATGCTTTGTACAAGAATTGTTCCGATGACATTGATATCACATGTACTATTTTTTTTTTCAACTGGTCATCTTGCAGCATCACACACACGTGTGTCGGGTATCTGAATCTTGTTACCGCTTCCACCTTTCCTTTTGCCCTTTGTTCCCGTCGCATTCCGCTCCGCACACACAAAAAAACCTAGGAAAGAACTGTTTTCCAAGAAGAAAACAAGGACGAAAAGAAACAATCTAAGTGGTTCCTTTGAAACTTGCATCATCCATGCTCACACAACATACCAAGCCGGTTTCAAACACGTTGAGACTTTGTTTTTTTTCCTCTTCTTCTTCTGCTCGTTCTTTTCACCATATTTTCAAAAGGGAAAACAGCATAGTTTTTTTTGACTTAGTTTGATATCATTTTTCTAAAAACTAGGATATAAGGAAAGGCACATTAGAACAAAAAAACAGTAATTTGTTTAATTTGCTTGCCGTGACATTCCCAAGGGTATCATGAGGGTATAAAAAAAAGGTTGAGTTGCTTTCCCCCTTTTTTCTTTTCCCAAAATATGCACAATGTCGAAGTAGGTTATTTGGTGGTGCTGTGGGTGTTTTAAAAAACCCCTTCCCTTTGGCTTGTCCCGCGTCGGAGGAAAGAAAACCCTGAAGAGGTGGTTTTGCCGGGGGTAGGTGGGTAGGAAAACGGAAAACAGCGAGCGGGAAGGAAGGGAAATAAAGGGGGTAAGAGGGGAAATGATGAAGCAGTTTTCCCTCACCCCTGCCTCCTTCCCACTGGTAAAACAAAAAGCTTTCCCATACGTACACGCTCCTCTCACACGCACGCGCACGCGCAGCAAACAAAAAGACACAAAAAACAAGCAAAAAGGAAGACCAAACTAGACTCAAAGTCGACATCCTGGCGCCCCAATCTGGTTCTCCCCTCCCATGTATGAAATGTAAAGTAGGTATAGGAATATCATGATCGTCATACCGTTTGCTTCGCCTCGTTCGATCGATCGTTTTTTTCGCTGCGCATTATGCCAATAGGAAATGGTGGGTTATTGTTGTTGTTGTTGTTGTTGTTGTAATGTTTGGTTGTTATTGTTGGTGTATAGGGGTGCTGGTACCGGTGTTGGTGATAGTGATGATGATGTAAATGATGGACGGTTTCTCCCGCCTAATGCACAACCCTCGATATCACCCCTGCTGCTTTCGTAAACCCGAAATTTTCCTGTAAAACGCCGATTATGGAGAGAGCCGGAAACCCCCGATGCTGTGTAAACTGATGAGTGCGAAAGAAAATTTCGACGTTACTATCGTCGTGCGCCGCCTACTTCCACCGAATGCGACGTTCGCTCGAATTGCAGCTTCCGTCTCTTGTTTGCCAGGCTCCCTCCTGGTGTGTCTTCGCCTCCGGTCGAGTCTGCATAGTCGTCTCCAAAGCCTTCACCGTAGCCTTGAAATGCAGCATCAGTATATGCACGCTTCGACCCTGATCGTTCTGGCCTGACTAGACCCCTATTAATGTGATTATTGGGTGTTGGCGCAGACGATGTATATGGTGTCGTTCGCTGTGGTGGAGCGTCCTGTGCTTTTGGCTTGACTGTGTCGTCAGTGCCCAGATATGCCTTGTACTTGGCAGCATCTGCGTTGGGAAGAGGTCCAGGACCCATGCCTGCAAATGCGCTATCGAGCAGTTGGCTGAAATCTGGTGTGAGACCTGTGCCGTCTAGCGTCAGGGCGGTTTTGTCGGCCTCTCGGTTCTGCACGTGGTTGGGCAACCAAATCTCTTCTGGAAGCATCAACAGATCGCGAAAAACGCCATCCATTTTTGTTGCTTTTGGCTTGCCGGCAATCTGCATCTGCTTGATGTGACCCTCGTAGGACTTGCGAAGCTTGTTAATCTTCTCGCCTGTTACCGGGTCATTGCGGGCTACGGAGCTGGCGAGTGGCTCGAGCCTGTACAGACGGATCAGATTTTGCGAGGCGTGCGGCCTCGACTTTTCGATCCGGTCCGTGTTGAGTTTGAATAATTGGGAGCCGCTGATTCCTTGGGCAGCCTTGAGTCGGCCGTCGGGCGTGTAGGGTGACTGGGCCTGCCGGTTGTGGTTGGATAGCCTGTGGCAGCGCGAGCGAAGAGTGTCATCGTCAGCGCTCTCTTCCATCGTCGCATCGCCGTCGCTATCGACATTGGCGCTGGAGAGGAAGCCGGCAGTGCTGGCCGGGGTGGGAAAGGGGTGCAGGCTGGATGCCGATGCGGCCGACTGGGAGAGCGAGTGGGCCATGGGGACTGAGGATTGCGGGGAGCGGTCCGACGACGTCGTGGTGTTTGTCGTGGAAAAGCCTCCATTGGATTGCGAATTCATCGAGGAGTAGGGTGGTGAGGTGGGTGTGCGCGGATGGGGGAGCGTCTTTGTCGTCTGGCCGCTCGCCTTGGCAGCGACGTCAAAGGGCGGGCTGGCGGGTGAGAATCTTCCGATCGAGTCCAGGCGTTGGCGTTTGGCGCTGTGATCCGACATAGAGGCCGCTTCACGAGGGTCGGACGTGGAACGAGGGCTCGGCAGCGCAGGCGGGCGGCGGAGAGGGAGCGCGGGTGAAGGAGAGCGAGAGTGGAGGCGGGAGGTCGGGCTGGTTGAAAGCGCTTGGCGGCCTCTGCGCGGGTCGACCGCGGCAGCAAGGGAGGGCGCTCTACTCAGTAAAGCGCATGCGAGGGCGGGGGCGGCAGCGATGGGCGAGAGATGGCGGCGATGTACAGGGCGTGATGGGGGCTGGGGGTGTTGGCGGCGGTGGTGGTGGTGGCGGTGGGTCAAGGAGGGTCGTTGGTCGGCGGGAGATGTGAAGATGCGAAGGAGACGATGGGGTGCACCGGCGGTTTGGGCTGAGGGCTACGCTGTGAGCCTACACGTGACCCGCCCACGCCCGGTTCACGCGGCCGCGATCCAAAACCGCGTCCAGGTGCTAGGGTGTGTCACCCTCCCATCGCCCGTTTGCGAAACACTTGGTTCCAGGCACAGGCTCACAACTCCATGTCGCGGCTGTAGCTGCACTGCTGCTGCTTGTTGCACTTGTGTGTGCTGCTGCTGCCCTCTCGTCCTGGCCAACATGCACGACAATCGCCCGCGTGCTCATGGCTCTGGCCCGGCCCCCCCAGCAAATGCACATGCTGCTGCGCAAACCTCCCGCCCCGGGCCTGCCAATCCGCCCGCGCCTAGTAACCTGCCCAAGGTCCAGCAGCCGAAGCCCCAGGCACTGCCCTCACGATCTGCGCCCAGCTCCATCTTGGTCTCGCCCCGCCAAAAGGGCAATCCCATCCTGAACAATGTGCGCGCCGTTGCCTGGGAGTATTCAGACATCGCCCCCGACTATGTCGTCGGCGCTACCACTTGTGCCCTGTTCCTGTCCCTAAAGTACCACCGCCTGCACCCCGAGTACATCTACAACCGCATCCGCGATCTCAAGGGCCAGTACACGCTGCGCATCCTGCTGACCATGGTCGACATTGAAAACCACGAAGACCCCCTGCGAGAGCTGTCCAAGACGTCCCTGGTCAACAACGTCACCGTCATGCTGTGCTGGAGCGCCCAGGAGGCCGGCCGCTATCTCGAGCTCTTCAAGACGTTTGAGAATGCAGCCCCGACCAGTATCCGCGCTCAGCAGGCAGGCTCCTACGCTGAGAACATGGTCGACTTCATCACGGTGCCGCGCAGCATCAACAAAACAGACGCTGTAGGCTTAGTCTCCAACTTTGGAAGCATCCGCACTGCAATCAACGCTGCCCCAGAGGAGATCGGCTTGATCGCAGGCTGGGGTGACAAGAAAGTCCAGCGATGGTGTAATGCCGTTCGGGAACCGTTTAGGGTACAAAAGGCCGCAAGGCGGGGCGGCCTTGTCCAGGAAGCCAATGACCCACCAACCGTGACAGAAGGTGAGGACCAGGCACAAAGTGCGGCAGTTGCTGGTGACACAGCACGTCAAAGGATCGACGACGCCGTACCTCTTGCAAAGGAGCTGGAGAGATCTGCTCCTTTTGCAACGTCTGCATTGGATGCCGACAAGCGGCCTGATCACCGTCTTGCCGAAGATATAAATGAAGACGACGAGCAGGCAATGCGCGAGCTGGAGGCCAACCAGGCCCAACCAGCAGTGGCAACGCCAGCGAAGAGGAAACAACCTGATGATAATATGAGCGAGGGCGTTATGGCAGCGTTGAACAAGTTAAGGAAACAGTAATCCAGACAACAACTTAATATACAGCACAAAACAAGAATATGATAGAATCAAAGTGTTCAGACAGCATACCAGCCTTGGACTAATGCAGATCCATCTGACGTGCATCTCTTCTGCCTTGTGAAGACGGGTCGCGGCTATCACATCCATGGTCATGGGCCTTTCTATCCAGTGGAGATGGGTCCGGGGTATCCGGATCCATGGATGTGGGCTCTTGAGTCAGGGATGGGCTGTAAATGCCTCTTTTCTGGCCCAACGCCCAGTAGTGCATGACTAGACCCAGTCTACCACACCCACACTCCCATATGTGCAGTAAACATTCGTGCTGTCTTCATCGTGTTGTTTCTCTTGTCATGCTCCGATCAGCCTCTTCAGCCTAGTTGCTTGGTACTAGTAGCATGACTTCATTGGTTGTAGGGAGTTTTGAATAGGATGGTGCAACAAAATCAAAATGAGCTGTCAAGACAGTAACTACTAAACTTGAAGGAAATAACATTTGCATTCTCTCTTATACTACCAAGAGAACTTTAGAATACTATAATCCTATTATCCTGGTTTGTGGGACTTGAATCATGCATCACTTCACGGAAATGTAACCGAATCATCCCATAGTCAGTAGCATAAATGATGGAAAACATACAGAATATTTCACCAAACCTGTACTTGCCAAACTAATGCAGTATTTCTATTTGAAGAAAACTCTTGACTCTAAGTATTCATCTATCATCTTAATCATCTCGTCTTCTTCCTTATCCTTATTGTTATCCTCTTCTTCTTCTTTCTTCTCTTCCTCCTCTTTCTCCTCCCCCTCTTCCTCCCCATCGCCCTCCCCCTCCTCTCCATCACTCTCCTGCCCCTCTTCCCCATCACCCTTACACCACACCCCCCTCTCCACAACATCAAACCCCAAAGAACCCCACGGCACCTCCCACCTCCCCTCCCCTCTCTCCATCACCCTCCCACCCTTACCCACCCACGTCCAATCCACCCTCCCCACCTCCTTCTCCCCATCTTCCACCCTCTGCCTCCTCAACTCATCCCACCCCCTCGCCCCCTCCGCACAGTAATCCCGCACGTTATCTTTCCGGTGGTGCACCGGTGCCTTGAGTGGGTGTGGCAGGTAAGGCAGTGTGTTTTTAGAGGACAAGGAGCAGCAGGAGAAGAGGCAGGAGGTGGAAGAGCGGGCGTATGGGATGCGCATGGGGCGCGTGGGCGTCGGGTCCCAGTATGAGTTGATGTGGTGCGTTGCGGTGTCGCTGGTGTGCGGGATTAAGGATGAGGAGAGGGATATGGCTGTTGAGTAGTTGCTGTTGAGAGAGAGAGATTTTTGTGGAGAGGAAGGGGGGTGTTGGGATAAGGGGTTGATGATTGTGGTGGTAGGTATGATGATGGTAGTTATGGGTTTGATGATAGTGGTGGGTTTGATTATGGTGGAGGGTCTGATTGTTGTGGAAGGTTTGGTCTCTGTGGTGGTGGGCATTTTGACTGCTGGTTGGTATGATTTGAGCAGGAGGCTAGGGAAGCAGCTGTAGATGAATGCCATGTTTTGAAGTTTGTTCATTAGACAGTTGACTTTAGACGCCCTTTGAGATATGTAGTAGATTAGGTTCATAAAACACGTTGAACAATAAGTGTCATGACAGCCAGAACCATGGTTTGGCTGCAACAAGGTTCGTAATGCAATACAGCACACTGGCTACATTCTCGTACCAGAGTATCCCTCCACGAATCCCATATCATCAACATCAAACCCTCTCAACCCTATCCGTCGCCCCCTTCTCCCCCACACTTTGACCGCCCACGCTCTCTCCTCTTTCCTCCGCCTTTTCAATCACCGCACCCTCTGCCACATGGTTCTTCCCACCAAACAGAGCATCCATCTCCTCCAGACTAACCTGCTTCGTCTCCGGGATAAAGAACCACGTAAAAACCGCAAGTAGGATGTTGATAGCAGCAAACATGTAGAAAGCGTAAAATCCTTCGTTTTTGAGGAAAATGGGGAAGAATTGCTGGACAATGGAATTGACGACGTTTTGGGTTTGCGAACACATGCCTACAGCTTGTGCGCGTACGTTCATGGAGAAGATTTCGGCGGTGAAGATCCAGACGGTTGCGCCCCAGGAGGGTTTGTCTGTTGTATGTTGTTAGTAGGAGTTGGGATTTGAGGGGAGGTGACGAATGACTTACAGAAAAAGGCGAAGAGGAACATGATAAAGACAATGGATATGCCGACCGGTTGTGACTTTGCGCCGTTGGGGAGCGACGGTGTTTGAGTTTCGACGGTCGCGGCGATTAACATGCAGGCGCCCATGCCGATGCCACCGACGATGAAGAGGAACTTGCGACCGAAGCGGTCGACGGTCCATGTTGCGTTGAGAGTGAAGAGGATGCTGAAAGTGGCGTTGAGCGCGTTGATGAGCGAGATTGTGTCTGCGCTTTCGAAAACCTTCTTGTAGATGATGGAGCTGTAGGTGTTGAGAGTGCCTTGACCGGTAATTTGTTGGCCACCGTTTACAATCATGGCAATGTACATGCGTTTCCTGATTGATTTGTCTTTCCAGAGAGCAGAGTATCCGGAGGAAATGGCTTCGGCTTCGAATTCAATGGCCTCTCGGATAGTCGTGATTTCGACTTCGACCTCCTCTTCAGTGTCACGAATGCGACGGAGCGACTGACGAGCTTTTTCGTAGTCACGACTCTTCTGCACGTACCAGCGAGGCGACTCCGGGATGAAGAAGACTTGAGACAGAATGATGATGGGAACAAGCATCTGGAAGATGACAACAATCTTCCAGTCCCACTCACCGAGCTTCTTCGGGTTCTTGGACGTGCCGAAACTGATCCAGTAGGCGATGAAGGAGCCAACCGAGTAGAACATTTGCCAGAAAGACATGATCTTGCCTCGAATCTCAGAGGGGCACACTTCGGAAATAAAAATGGATCCAGCTGTGAGCGCAAGACCTTGCCCGATACCGATGAGGACGCGACCGACGATGAAGACACCAATTTGACCACGGGGCGCGAATGTTTGCATCAACGTTGCGATAATGACACATACCGCTCCAGCAGCCATACCCGCTCTTCGACCGGCAAAATCTGCAAGAGGACCGCCCTACATGAGACGTTAGTATACTTGATGTTATTCCCCTTGAATATTATCTCACCATGAAGAATCCTGCTACAACGGCTCCGACTGTATAGGAAGTATTAATGGCCCCAATGATATTAGGCCCCGGCTTATTGAAATAAGCCTTCCAATGATCGGAATTCTGAAGCGCGTTGAAAACAGACGCATCGTAACCGTAGAGAACCATGCATGATGCAGCAACGAGTGAGATGTACCAGTTGTACGCTCTCGTTGCGGAAACCATCTTGACGTTGACTCTTTGGATCTACCTCTCAAAATAATCGATAAAGGTGTGTCCGGCTCGAATTCCGCAGAGTATACAGCGGTTGATCCGTGGAGCTCAGGACTGGAGAGCAAGCAGGGGAGACTGGGTTGGCCATATATACATACATGGCACGTTCATATCTGCCCATAGGGGAATAGCTATCATTGAATATAGTAAGGCCCATAAAACCCCATGGGCTCGGGAACGCTGATACCAACATACCTAATCTTCGTAGTCTGCCGCTACTCCGGGAACCCCATACTTATCACCACGAATCATCTCGCTTGGAAAGCTTCAACAACTTGCTCTAGTGCTAAAAAGCGTCTACGCTCAGCTCCTTCAACCCCATCATACCGTATTTAGCGAATCTGGGGGCGAACCTCGAGGCTCAATAGCTTGCTCGTAACAAGGAGACTCGATCCACTTTGGTGGATTGGGGGTGGCATCGCAGGTGATTTTCCACGAATGAGCATCATGTGACAAAGCGTTAAAGCGCCGTTGTTCTCGGGGGTTTGCAGCGCGGGATTGAGCCGACAGAGCGATCAGTGCTTGCTCTAACCTCGGAGTGGTCAAGATTGTCGGCTGTTTAGTCGCAAATGAGTAGTAGTTGCTTCACCGCAAGCAGGCCAAGCCTAGACTCAAGGAAATTGCGGCTGCAGGAAGCTTTTGGCTCCAGGCTGGGCTGTCTTGTTTTCACCTCGACAGAACTTCGGGATTGCCAGCATGGTGCTTGTCAGTGTTTGAGTTTAGTGCCCCTTAAGCGTTGCCGTCTCAGTTGTTGCAAAGCCACTCGACGGGATCATAGACGTGACAATAGGGCTGGATTGTAAAAGTCCCATGATTCATGCCAGAGGGTATGACTTGATAGCCAGCGGTGGAGCCGTGTGGACTGGCGTGATGGAGCGCGTTGACTCATGCTGAAACCAGCAAGTGCCAATACATACGTCGCGTATAGGTCCTCGGAGGATCAAAGTAACACGACCACAGTAACACAGATAGGATTGGGTGGCTGGTTAAATACATACATTGCGCAACATGCTGTAGTCTAGTCGAGATATACTTACAACCAACAAGTCGGTTAGCGCTAAGATGGATTCATCCCAGGTAGATGGTAAAATCACGTGATTGCGAGCCACGAAATGGTGGCGGTGCAGACCATCCCACTTTTCCTAGGCTTCGAGACCGAGACCCTTTCTCACCGCCCGCAACCAACCCTCGTTTTCCACGCCTCCAGTGAATACTTTCCACTCTAACCTTTCTCCCAAAAAACCACCTCGTAACACACCCCACACTCAAGATGCCTTCAGGACAGGGAGGTACGTAAACACCAAAGCCTCTGCGCACAAACGATGCGGGGTCGAACAAAAGACGTTATATTTCCCGCACAAGGCTAACGCGGCAACTCAGCGGGTACCAACCCTATTCACAACAAGAAGCCCAAGAAGAAGGCTGCCGAGCTCGACGAGGACGACCTCGCATACAAGAACAAGCTCGCTGCCGGTACGTTACCCACCACCTATCCCCTTCTACTTCCGAAGTGCCACCACAACCACACAAGGAAGCATACGGATAGGTAGACTGACAATATACACAGACAAGAAGGCGCGCGAGGAACTTGCTAAGACCGTCGGAAAGGGCAAGGGCCCGCTTAACACGGGATCGCAGGGTATCAAGAAGTCTGGCAAGAAATAAGCGCTGGACTGGACCTGACGAGCGAGAGACGGACGATATGGGCATGACGATTTGATATGAGATACCACGGACTAGGGAGCCGCTTGTTGGCGAGGGCGGGTTGATATACACGACCATAAATGCATGGGATAAGCCACCAGTGACTCTTTTGTGACTTTTAGAGCCATGTTTGGTCCAGCTGCATGACTGCCGTTCTTTTTGTGACGGCATAAGGCCGCACTGGAACGCTAATGTTGGGTTCCGCTAGACATAAGTCGGATCCAGTGTTGAAAAAGACATTTGTGCAGACTATTCCTCGATCAATCAAGTCGGTTACATTGATTCCCCTACGCTGTATTGCAGTCGCTTTTCAGTCTAAACATCGTCCAAGTATTCAGACTCAACCGGTGATTATATAGTACCCCAAGTTTTCTAAACACCGCACTATCGCTCATCTCCCTCTATTATCAGCTCTTCCCCCTCTTCAAACAAGCACTTCCTCACACATACAACACCCCCATCTCCACCTATGTTTCCCAGCAGATCTCGATCTCGATCTCTCTCTCAACATCGAGTATACACCATCCCGTACCTTATCCGCACAGGCTGCCTATGCGAATTGCCTACTGAGACACCAAATGTTTTTGCCTCGTTGGTAGCTACGCGTCAGTGTGTCCCCAAGGACCAAGGCGAGAAGGACGATATAGTATCAGTACTAGAACGGTAGTTGCACCGTCGAATTGAGATGGAAATAAGGATCAGTTGGGGTTGGTGGGATGATGAGGATTGTTTTGGTTTGACTTGGGGGTGGATAGTGATGACGTTTTGGTGGTGTTGGCCAGATAGTAAAAAAAAAAGGTGCCTGTTGCCTGCGGACGTGGGATTTTTGGAACTAGGGTGGGCATTTGGGCGGGTCATGTCAGTGTTGCTGGCAGTGGCACATTAGCACAATCACAGCGGGGCGGCAAACGATAAGAGTCAAGAATAAAATAGATAATGTTGAGTACATGTCTCTGATCCATGTACATATATTGTAGAATCAATAAACTTTTTTGCCTCTTTCATCTATCCAGAGGAAATAATAAATGTTGCGAAAAACAAAAACGTCCCCCCACATTCCCCCTTCCTCGGCTACCGTCCTCGTCATTACTTTCCTAACCGAGACACGATGCGTAGCCGAGGACTTTGCCAGGCTTCTCTCGTTCAGATAAGGAAAGTTGCCTTGACTGGAGCGGGGTTGGAGATTGTAGTACCAGTGGGGCAAGGCAGCCGACTTTCGCGGGAGTGGGCGGGATTGATGACGTTCCCAGACGTTTTTTGCTGGCTAGAGCCAACAGGGGGGGAGGAGAAATGACGGACCATGGCACTTCAGGTGTGCGACGGATAGTTCTCTTCCAACACTTGGTCGAGAGCATGTGGTGCGCATACAGAATCGTCATGGTGGTATAACCATTGTTACATGATGGGGGTTTGTGAGTAG